TTCACAGGATTTTATGCATTCTTTCTTAGGCCTGATCATCCTGGGAGCCCGCCCTTTCCAGCACAGGGAGGTTTCCTACCCACCTCCTGTATTGTTTCAGGCTTAAGTTGGGTAGGGTAATTAAGGCAGGCAAGAGATTAGGAGACTTCTTGCAGACAGAATGAGGACTCAGGCTATGTCAAAGCCGAAGGGCAAGGGTCCATCACCCCCTTTTGCTATAGCTCCCCAAGTTCTTCCCTGAGCCTCTTTGTGACCATTCCTGTCTTAGGTCATCCCTCCCTTGAGGAATCTTACCTGTCATTGCCTAACCAGTCATCCATTTGGGGCCAAACAGGGTGAAGTAAAGTGGGCAGAGGTGGTCCTCCTGCCAGGGAGATAAGCTTTGTTTCCTTAGTGGGTTAGGGTCCCAAGATCTCTCACTAAGCCTTAGCCATGGGGGGTTACAGTTTCTGAAACTAGGCAGGGTGGTTCCCAGCACTGAGGTATCTACTTTCCCTGCCCCTGGACATCAGAGCTCCTGGTTCTCAGGTCTTCTGACTCCAGGACTTACACCAGCAGCCCCCTCCCCCAAGTTCTCAGGACTTTGGACTTGAACTAAATTATGTACCACTGACTTTCTTGGTTCTCCAGCTTGCAGATAGCAGATCATGGGACCTCTTGGCCTCCATAACTGTGTGAGCCAATTCCTTTAATAAATCTCCTAAGATCTATATCTATATCTTTATATCTATATCTATATCTGTATATCTATCTATATCTAATCTCCTATTGGCTCTGTTTCTCTAGAGATCTCTTGACTAATGCATTTGCATTTCAGTCTCCATTTTCACTTCTGAGTGCATTTCTAGCTAATTTGAGCATGTGTAGGGATATAAGAATAGGGTGGAGAGAATAATTACACAAAACTCCTCTGCTCAGACCCTCTATTGGCCCTCCAGATCACTCACAATAAAAGCTAAAGTCCTCATAGTGACCCACAAAGCTCTAAAGCTTTTCCCCCTATTGAGAAACAATCCTCTATGAATCTCTTCCATTTCTGTTCTTCTTGGAGCAGTGTGCTGGTAGTCTTTGTTTGGACCTGCTTTTCAAGGATGCTTATATTAGGAACAGCCTTGGGAGACAGACTCTGCCTCTGGGGCAGGGGAGTGTTTGTTTACTGCCCAGTGTAATAATGTCTCCCTCTGGGACAAAGGTCAGGCAGCTTTGCTTGTAGTCCATTATGAAAGATTTCAGTTCCCTAACTTACGGGTTTCTCAGGTATGGTGCAAACCCATTATATGGGTGGCATCCACCTAGAATGCTCTGTGTCACCCCAAAGGACTTGGGTGGGGGAGGCAACTGGAAAAGACATAAACATGAATCTTATGCCACTTGCCCAGCTTGAGGTGGTAAAATCCTTCATCTCTGCCCCAGGAGTCCCGCGTGTCTCGGTATCCACAGAACAGTACTAGACTAAGTTATTAGCTTGCAAGTGAGGTAAAATCTCAGAACCTTTCCAGTTCTTAACTGCCTACCAGCATACATCTCTCACCACATCTGCTACTCCTTCCCTTGTCATCCTGCCTGTCTATACAGTTCCTGGAACCTGCCAAGCACACTCCTGCCTCAGGGCCTTTGCATAAGCTCTGCTGTCAGCCTAAAACATTTACCCCCAGATGTCCTTCAGATCTTCTCCAAATAACACCTTAGTGGGGTCTTCTTTGACTTCTCTATATAAAATAGCCTTGCCACCAGTACACGGATGGACTTTTGCTAACCTGATGGTTGAAAATGGTATCTCAGTAAGTTTTAAATTTATCTTTATTATTTTCTATATCTATATACATGGTGGGGCAAAAGTGGGTTTATAGTTGTTCATGTGGAAAATAATAAAATGATTAATAAATAATATTACAAGAGTAAACTCTGTTTCACATACAACTATAAACTTATTTTTGCCCCATGCTGTATCCTGTAATATTTACTATATTTCTATTATTAGTTTAATGGTTTAAGAGCCATATGTGTTTCCTTTCCTCTGAGCTGACTGGTCCTAGCCTTTGCCTATTTTTTTAACAACAATTAGTCTTTTTCATAATTTTTCACTTGCCTTGGATGTAATTCCATATAATTTTCCTCAGCTTGTTTTATGTTGAGTTTATGGTATCATCATCATTATTGTTTTAATATAAAAGTTTTCTATTTTTTGTACTTATATTTATCAATTTTTTATGGCTTCTGGATTTTCAAACAAAACCAGGAAGGCCTTGCCCTGGCTGGGTGACTCACTTGGCTGGAGCATTGCCCCATACATCAGAAAAGGCTGAGGGTTCAATCTCCTGTCGGGGAACATGCCTGGGTTTCTGGTTCAATCCCTGGTCAGGGCATGTGTGGGGCGTGTGCAGGGCTGGGGAGGGGACAGACAAACGATGTTTCTCTCTCTCAGTGATGTCTCTCTCTCTCTCTCTCTCTCTCTCTCCCTTTCCTTCCTCTTGCTCCAGAATCAGAGAAAGGCTCAGGTGAAGATTGAAAAAAAAAAAAAACAGAATTAGCCTCTATGAATAGTCTGGTACAATAACTACAGGCAAGAATATATATTTTAAATAGTGTATTTGTTTATTTTTAGAGAGAGGGGAAAAAAGGAAGAAAGAGAGGGAGAGAAACATTGATGTAAGAGAGAAACATCAATCAGTTGCCTCTGGAGCACGCCCCAACCAGGGATGAATCTGCAACCCAGGCATGAGCTCTGACTGGGAATCGAACTGCAGGATGATGCCCAAACAACTGAGCCACACTGGTCAGGGCAAGAATATTTTGAGGGAAAAAAAAAACCCAAGAAGGTCTATCATTTCAAGATTATAAGGAAGTCATCCATACTTTCTTATATTTTTCTAGTACTTTTATGGTCTCATTTCAAAATATACAAATCTTTGAATCATTTGGAACTTACTTGATGTAATATGTAACTTATAAATTCAATGTTTAGGTTTTTAATCTTATTTTATTTAAAATTGATTTTACCTGGCTGGCGTAGCTCAGTGGATTGAGTGCAGGCTGTGAACCAAAGCATCAAAGATTCGGTTCCCAGTCAGGGCATATACCTGGGTTGCAGACTACGGCCCCCAGCAATGGCACATTGATGTTTCAATCTCTCTCTCTTTCTCCTTCCCATCCCTCTCTAAAAATAAATAAATTTAAAAAATTAAAAAAATAAAATTGATTTTAGAGAGGGAGAGAGAGAGAGAGAAACATTGATTTGTCGTTCCACTTATTTATACATTCATTGGTTGATTCTTGTCCGTGCCTTAGCTGGGGATGGAAACCTTAACCTTGGCGTTTCAGATGGTGCTCTAAACAACTGAGCTACTTGGCCAGGGCCTCTCTTAGGTTTTTTTTTTGACTACCCAATTGTCCCAACCCTTTTATTATTTATTTAGTTTAAAGCACATAATTGAAACACTTATTGAAAACATACGGTAGAAAAACTGCCGTCGTGAACAACAATGCCTCTTTCACACACTTCAGTGGTGGGTACACTGCGGTTGGAGTGCGGGGCGGGGTGGGGGGGCACTTGTCAGTGTGCCAAGGCTACCCAGCTGAGAGATAGTTTTCAGATCTCCTAAGAATCCGCCTGTGTGCTCCCTCCTTCCTCGTCAGACTCCTCCCGGCAACCATCCTTGTGGTTTGAGAACCCTCCACCTCCTGTAGCCAGATTTCTATCAGGGCCAGTAATCCAATACCTTGGGTTGCACTGGGGCAGCCCTGTGCCTCAGGATGTACACATTGGGATTTCAAGCTCTATGGACACAGTCCCCCTGGTTTAGCCAAAGCTGGTGAGAAGTCTTAGAACATGGACTGATCCCCTTCTGTGTCTTGCAGGATTCAAACTCAATGTAGAAGACCTGCTGGATGAAATTAGAGAAGGTGGTGAGTTTGCCCACCCAGCCCCCTTTAAGTATTGCTGGAGTAGCCAGGTGTCACTTTAATTTTATTTCTGCATGTAATTGGGTCTATTTCTGTACTTGGTTCCATTCATTTGTTTGGCTTTTTGTGTATTAGTACCAAACTGTTTTAATTACTGAGGATCTGTAGTATGTTTTACTATCTGATGGTGCTAGTTCTCTCCTCCTTGTTCTATTTTCTCAGAGCTTGTTTCCTTACCGGTATTGCTATTTTTCCATTGCCATTTGAATTTTAGTAACAAATAGGGTGGTTTAAAAAACACTCATATAACTTATTAATCCTGTTAGTACTTTTTACGAATATTAAAAGAGATCTTTATGATATTGAGTCTCCCCACCCATAAATATCATTCATCTTTCCATTGGATTCAGTTTTCTTATTTGTATTGATAAAATGGGAGTATAATTTATGAGATTATTAGTAATCTCAGAATTAAATGAGGAAATGCATGTGAAGGACAAGAACATGCATTAGTAGAGTCAACGTGTTGCTTTGCCGCTCTCTAGTGTATGAACTTGGGCTTGGTTATTTCGGTCCTCTCATTTGTAAACTGGGGATATTAACGGTATCCTCTTCACAAGACTGTAATAAGGGTCAAATCAGACGAGGCATGCCATGTACTCAGTGCACTGCCTGGAACACAAGTTTTTGAAGAATATTAGGTATTCTAAAAAACAGGCTGTCATGGTGCAACGTGACTTAAAGCAAAAGCTTGCAGGGATCCACCTTAGATCGAGGGCTCTCGGGTTAATTCTTTCCAAGAACCTACGTAATTGTCGGTCACCCTTTGCAATATTCCCCTTGAGCCTCAGAAAGCAGTCGGATTTGAAGTCGGGATCCCAAGCATCTAAGTCCACCCCCAGACGCCAGGACGCTGCCCCCACCCTTTCGGCCGCTGCGCTGCCACGTCTCGCGCGTCAAACAATCCGAGAGGGAGGAGGCGTGGCCAGGTCGGGCCAGCCCCCACGCCTGAAGCCCGCCCCTCCGCGGTGGAGTCGCTGGTAGGCCGTCCGCTGGTTGCAGAGCTCCGTGATGCTACGGATGGGCGGGGCAAGTACGCCTCCGGAAGTCCCGGGGGAGGAGGTTACGTATATCCGGCGAGTAGCTGGCGTTCCCGGGTGCTGCTGGGCCGTGTGCTCAGAGAAGGGTTGAAGCCGCCCGACGCTGCTGGAGGAGCCGGTTGGGCCGTAAGTCGGGAGGCTGCGGCAAAGGAAAGAGCCAGGGTCGGACAGGCTGGGGCGGACGACAGAAGGGTCGGGGCGGAGACTGGCGCAAGCGGGGTGGGGGGCGGGGGAAGTGACACGCAGGCGGTTCTGTGGGGCCGTGGGACTGGTTCTGGGCGGGGATGGGCAGACTTGTCTGGGTCAGCTCAGCCTTGTGCCTGCTTCTAGGGTAGCAGGTCGATCTGCATTCCTTTCGGGGGTCTTGCAGCTACTTGGCGGGATAACAGTTTTCTTGTTTGTACTGTGCACCCTGGTTTACGAAAAGGCTTCACATCCCCTGTCTCAGATGAGCCTTGCATTACAGCCCTCAGTGAGGCCGATGAGAGACCTTTGTGATTATCCTTGTCTCGCAAACTGGGGACTGAGGCTCTCCGAGGCACAGTGAATTGTCCAAGGCCCCAGAGATAACAAGTGTGAGCGTTGGAACCAGTCCTCCTGCCTCCTAGTCCTAGGATCCACACCGCGCACCGCCCGCCCCCCCCCCCCACTTCAGCTGTTATCCGATGGCCTTGGTTGAACACCATATTTTCGCCTTTCACTTCCCACTTTTAACCCCCACTCTGTTTTCAGTTCATGGAAAAATTTCTTCATGTTCATTTGATATAGATTAATGTTTACTTCATGATTCCAGCCAAATGGTCAGGAGCGCACTTGTGAGCATCGCCATTAGATTGTCTTGTTAGTATTCTCTCTTGCTCTTTTCTCCTTTACTTTGCTTCCATCTGCTTAGGTTGGGGATTTATGGAACTGTGCAATAGGTCTGGCCTTTGACATATACCCTGTAGGTAAGCACGTTTCTTAGCTAAAAGCCAACTGCCGTATCTGAATATGTAGAAGAAATGATGCATAGACTCTTTATTGGCTAATGGTGGGCCTGGTGCTTTTCCTTTTTATTTATTTGATCAGTGAGTCGTGAAATTTGCAGATTTTAGTTTTGGGGACATTGACAGTGCTTTTGTTGGTAGTTCAGAGCCCTTAAATTTAGAATACTCTTATTTGTCATAAGATGCCATAAGGTGGTAGAGAGGATCAAGGATAAAAGATATTATAAGTGGAATGCTAGTTGTTAACATATTCAAAATGTGTGATGCATTGTAAGGAAGAAAACTTTAGAAGATTATCATGAGTGTAGTTGGTGTGGTTAAGGAGGTTTTATGTTTTTTAAAAAGCAATTCAGTGATTTTGATTTGAATTTGATGTGGTATTAAGAGGAAGAGCTGTGACTTTGGTATTACAAAAGGAAGGTTGAGTTCTGGCACTGTTACTTTTTCAGCTGAGCAGTCTTTGTTAGGCCAGCTAACTTAGGAGCGTCAGCATTCTGATTGTTCCTGCCTGGTGGGGCGGGTGTGAGAAGGAAATGAGGCGTGTGTGCAGCCACTGCACACCCTGTAAAACAGCACACGAAGGGGTACAAATCCTAAGATCTCAAAGATGGAGGTGCCATGAAATTAGGGTAGCAATGCAACACAATTCTTTGTGTCCAGTTATGGCCTTTATTATTTTTTATAACGTCATCTGAAGGGTTTCTTCAAGCACTCTCCATAGATCATTCTGATGGGAAGAATCATAGGACCTTTAAAGCAGGTTATGTCAAGGGAAAATAAATTGAAAATAAAAATAGTTCATTGACCATGAAAAATTCCTTAAAATGGGGTTTTCCTCTTGTCGCCTTCTGAGAATTCATCTAGTTGGGAATACTTCTAAAATGATGTGCTAAAACTTTACAAAGAGTCTGTGAAGTACTAACTGCAAACCAGGGTAGTGCAGATGAATGCATGTGTTGGAGTTCAAATGACTTATCAGGCTGGAAGTGACCTAAATGAGAGGTGCTTTCTAAAGGCGATCTGCACTTTTCTCAGTGGTAGACTGAGCAGAGTAGGGGAGGGCAACTGGTGTGTGGGGACTGCAGAGGAGTGGCCTGTAGTCCTTTTAGTGGAAAGTTAAGCATAGGAACATTGAACGTTTATGGAAGTCACTCGACTTCTTAAAGTATAGGACAAGTTTCCAGACAAAACTATTATTTAACATGCTAAATTTGTTCTTTCTGCCAAAGTGTATTTACATATTACTAAAAGGAATAAAACCTTATGTAGTGTCTTCTTATAAAAGTTTTTGCTGTCAGTCTCCACCCTCACTCAAACCCCTACTTTTCATCTTGCTGTCCATAAGAGCCATGGGAAATAAGCATTAAGCAGTCCCTAAAGTTTATAGGTGAGGCCACAGGCCTCATTAAAAACAAAACAAACAAAGCAAAAGAGAAACAGTAATTGGATGGAAAAGAACAGTAACTAACATGCATTGTCTCCATTTTCCAGTTTATTATTCATTTAGCATTCTTTCAATGAAGAATATATAGGTAGGCTTTCCCCTGTCCCCCAATCCTCACCTGAGGACATGCTTGTTGATTTTAGAGATAGGGGAGAGGAGTGGGGTGGAGAAAGAGAGAGAAACATCCATTGGTCGCCTCTCGTATACACCCTGACCGGGGATCAAACCCACAACCTAGGTATGTGCCCTGACCTGGAATCGAACCCGAGACCTTTCAGTTTATGGGATGATGGTCCAACGAACTGAGCCACACCAGCCAGGGCTAGGTAGGTTTTCATGGAATACCCCTTTACAAGTTAGTAGTAAAAGTAACACAACTAAATTTTGTTAATTTTCTTGAAAAAACAAAATGTCATGAAAAGTTTTATTGTAAGCAGGTGGTCACATCTAGTATAAAGCCATGTGTTCAGGTGCTGTTGATGATGGACAGAAATGAAAATGGGTGATCTTTCTATTTTTTTGTACCAAATCTGATACTGAGGCAAAAGTTCAGTGTGACCAGAAAATGCTGCCTTTGAGAAACATTAGCACCTACCATTGGCTCAAGATCCTCCTCTCTCAACTTTTATTCAGAGGTCCTCTTGCTTATTGCCAATGTATGTCGACCTTTCTGTAGCTTTGGATCATCTTTGGTTTTGTTTAGGCTTATGGGAAACAGTAGATGGTAATATCAGTACTAATTAAGGTATGTACTTGGCTGGGAAGCTACCACAATGCCCTGAATGGATATTGTTATTTTAAGAAAATATATATTTGTAAAGTGTTGAGATCTTGGTTGTTGCGCGTGGGTCACCAGCCAGCAGTGACCACGGAACGCTGTGGATGGCTCGACAATACGCAAGAAAAAACACACATGCACAGAGACAAACTAGTTTCTGTGGGGAAGTAGAGACAGAATGGCCACTCCCCCTAGTGGGGAGCGCGCCGATTTACAGTCCATACCTGCTTTTATTGGGCTCATGCTACACAATAACTCAGGTAAAGTACAATACTCATTAGGGGGAAGTAAGGAACTATAGAAAACAAAGAACTCTGCCGGTCTATTGAGTTGGGGGGTCAAAGAGCTGTAAGACTGAGGAACAAACTTCCTTCCTCCTAAGACCCTTCTCATTCAACTGAGAGCATTCCAAACAAAGAAGGTTTCACAGTAATTTACATGTTCTTTCTTAGGCCTGATCACCCCGGGAAATCCGCACTTCCCAGTACCGAGCTGTACTACCCTGTCATTGTTTCAGGCTTAGGTGGAGCACAGGAACTAAGGCCACCGAGAGATAAGGAGATTTTCTTCCAGACGCTGAGAACTCAGACTTTGTCAAAGCCGAGGAGTGAGGGTCCATCACCCCCCTTTTGCTGCAGCCCCCCCCCCAAGTCCTTCTTTAGGGGGCCTCCCAAAGTGATCGTGCCTGGCTTGGGTTGTTCCCCCCGTGGGGAATCTTACCCGTCTTTGGCTAACCGACCAAGCTTTTTGGGGTTCAGCAGCAGAAGCAGCATTCCTGCCAGGGAGATAAGCTTTTATCTCCTTGCCGGCTTACGGTTCCAAGGGGGGTTTCGGCCTCTGATACCAGTCAGGGCGGTTCCCAACACTTGGTTATTCACATTACAAAAGGGTTCTCTTATTACTGCTTCATGGCTTTCCAAAATAGTGGTATCATCTCTTTTATAAGTTGATACATATCTGCAACAGGGACTAAACGAATATTGTTTAAGAAGAGATAGCAAAAAGGAAATGAAAGCAAGATGAAAAGAAAAACAAAAAGAAGAGATAGCATTGATAAATCCAGCAGGGCAAATTGTGACTTTTTAGAGCAGTTTACAAGGATGGGTTAATGTGCTTTTCATTCCAGTTAATATGCCTTTTTTTCATTCTTATTTTCTCCTTAATGAATTGATATGAAATTTTGATACAGATAATTGATGGGACTGATTTCCTAGAGGTTTTGTTAACTGGTGGACAGCAGTGGTGTATCTAGGGAATGTGAATCAGCAGCTTCCGGGAGGAGTGAGCCACACAGTAAAAGAGGAAAGTATATCTTCAATTCCTAGTTTTCTGAGTATCATAGATTGGAAACTGTTAGAAAATCAGGAGTTTCTGCAGAGCAAAGACCCAGAGACTTCCCTCCAGGGTGCAAATCCTTTGTTTTCTCATTCCCAAAAGCATGGGACTGTAAATGTGCATCAGGATCAGGGAGTAAGAGTTAACTTCTCCAGAACTGTATAGCATTCAGAAAGCTAATGTTTGCTCTTTTCATATTTTACACAGGTAGTAAGCATTAATAATGTCTTTCATCTTTGAGTGGATCTACAATGGCTTCAGCAGTGTGCTCCAGTTCCTAGGTAAAGCCACTTTCTTTGGAATATATCATAGGTTTTAAACTTTTCTGCATTTCCTCCAACAGTTTAAATACAAGCAGCATTTAATATCTAGAGAGGAAAATTACGTTAATTTTTGTTCTCTTTTAGGACTCTACAAGAAGTCTGGAAAACTTGTATTCTTGGGCTTGGACAATGCAGGCAAAACCACTCTTCTACATATGCTCAAAGATGACAGATTGGGCCAACATGTTCCTACATTACATCCGAGTAGGTTTGAAAATACCAGGTGACCTTTTGATATCTAAACGTTAGTGTCAAGGTTGGAGGATGAATCCCCAATAGATGTAGTTTTTGTCTTAACCAAGGTCCCAGAAGACAGCTCACTTGAAAAAAATTCCCTCCAGCACACACTCAGGTCACATACTCGTAAATCTCAACCTCTGGAACACTGTCACTCTCTGTTCTCACTAGTCCTTAACAGGACACATCTCCCTTATCTACTTCTAAGTAGCAGCTAATTAGAGAAAAAGAAACTTGGCTTTTAAAAATAATTTAAGAATGTTTTCACTCTTGTATTCTTTACAAGGTGAAAGCTGTGTTAAGTTTTGCATTTGTATTGGCTTGCAATACTTGTAGCTGGGCCTTGTTTGGAGGTAGGAGTTTATTTCTTTCCTCACTATTGATAATTTTTCAGCATCAGAAGAGCTGACGATTGCTGGAATGACCTTTACAACTTTTGATCTCGGTGGGCATGAGCAAGGTAAGAAATGATTCAGTGGAAGGATGGTATTGACTTATGGTTCATTTTGTACCCCTCCTCTTTTTTTTTTTTTAAGCAGTGTATCATTTTTACCTTTTAAATTGCTTGCATTTAGGATTGAGATCTTATTTAACAAAGTTGATTTATTCACTTATTTTAAAGTAATTACCAAATTTTCAAAAGTTTCATAAATAATAGAGAACTCCACTTCTTTATACCCTTTGTCCAGATTTATCAGTCTCCCTTTCTATATAATACACATTAATATTTATTTTTCTTGGACCATTTATGAGTTCTTCATTCTCTCTGATTAGTTAATATTTAGTGTATTTTCCAAGAACAAGAATGTTCCCTTATACAATTTTAGTTTTCAAACCCAGGGAGTTGTATTTTTATCTACTTTATAGTGCATAGTCCTTTATTTGTTTAATTGTCCCAATAATCTTTATAGAATTCTTCCTTTTAAACATGCTGCAATACAGTATCACATTGAACTTAATCATGTTTCTTTTATATCCTTTTTTCAATGCAGTGTAATTATATAGGAAATTGAGTATTATTTGTAAGTTATTTCAAGCTTGTCAAAAGTTGTAAAAATAATACACAGTAATAACTACTTGTGATCACTCTGGTCTCAGTTGATATTTTGTATGCTTTGCCCATTTTGGGTCATTTTCTTTTACCCTCTTGTTCTCAGTGCATTCTGCTCTACTCAGGCTGTGTCTTTTGGTTACCAGCTTCCTGTCAGGTGTCTTGTATGTATTTTAGAGGCATACAGTGTGAGGCATCTTTATATGGTACGCACTCACTTTACATTTGGCCAGACTCCAGGCTCAGGAGTAAAACATTTAAGATGTGGGAATAAGTATTCTGTAAAGGTAGAAGAAAGAGCCAATTAAGATTCTTTCAGATTTACTCAATAGTTATTAAATTGAGTTGAAAAGTTTCTTATTGGAGCATTATGTTAGGTAGACTCTTAATAAAGCTTTTTAAAAGTTTATTAAAAAATAGAATTATGGTAACTTTAATCGTTCTGCCAAAAAATTTTAGCTGAAAGGCCAGAAGCAATCCAGATAATTTTATAGTCACTGATTTTATTAGCATATAATGCTTTATTTAATTTAATATTTATATGCTACAAAATCATATATATAGTATGATTTTATAAAATATGTGAACAGAAAAGAAATTTTGAAAAAATATACAAAACCATTAGGAGTGTGTGTTTTGATAGAGGATTACAGATTATCTTGGGGTTTTTTTTTTTAGTTCCTGTAATAAGCTTTTATTATTTTCATTTGGGTAGGAAAGGGTATATGGTGTCTTTTCTGCTTCTTTTGAAAAGATTTGTAACTGCTTACAAATTTAAACCAGAGGTGACACAGTCATATAGCTGAACTGAGAACATTGGGTGAATGCAGAACAGTAGGTATTTTTAGACACCTGAACTAGGAATTGTGTATCTGGTGTGATAATTTAACTTTCAGGTTTTGATAGAGTAAGAAGAGAAATGTGTTTATGTACATAGTTTTGTTTGAGGAAAATTTATTTAACAAAGTTTTCCGTAGTAACCTAACTGCTACTGCTATTATACAGAAGTTACTAAAATACTGTACATTTGGAAATTTCCATGTATATATCTCTCCTTTTTTATATGTATATAACTTAAAAATTTAACTTAAAAAAGTAGTCTAGACTCACTGTAACAAATTCAGTATACAATCAGTATACAAATATGGAAGGTAAAAATGAAAGTTTCAGAGGTTAACCATTATTAACTGTTTGATGTAGAGGTGCTTGCTTAGTCATTCCATTGAAAGAACTAGAAATGCATGGCTTAGAGATTATAATTCAGGTTAAAGCATTGCTTCCTAAACCATTAACGTTTTATGTTATAGACATAAAAATAAAATGTATAGGGCATACTGGGTCAGATATGGGAGATCGAGGTGGTTGGCCTGGGAACTTCAACCACCTGTCAGCCCAGACTCTCTGAGGGCTGAGTGAGTGTGTCATACACTAACACATCAGGTAGTTAGAAAATAACTTTGGACTAAAGTTTTATGGACAAGTAATTTGCATCATGATATTTTAACTCAGACGTTGCAAAGTAAAATGGCTTCAGGGCGAGGAAGGTGATTTAAGTGAGTGAAATTGGGTGTAAGAAGGTGGAAAGTGGTGGAAACTGAACAGTGGTGGAAACTGAACAGCCAGGTCTCATCCAAAGGGGTGTGTGGGTACATAGGCAAGGGACTGTCAGGTGTTGCAGTTTTTAAGAAAATCAGGCCAAAACCCCTTGTTTTTGTGTTTTAAAAAATCATTCAGTTCATGGACCATTAGTTTATGCCTTCTATACTGACTTAATAGTGGCTAAGAGTTAGAAAATCATGTAGAGTTTAATGCTGTTGAAACCTGGCTAAGATTTGACTATTTCATAGACCAGGTTATTCATTTTCAAAATACATATATTTTTTATTGATGCAGCTTTGAACTTTTTTTTTTTTAGCACGTCGGGTTTGGAAAAATTATCTCCCAGCAATTAATGGGATTGTCTTTCTGGTGGATTGTGCAGATCATCCTCGCCTCATGGAATCCAAAGCCGAACTTAATGTATGTTTATGTTTTTTCCCATCTTTGGCCTGTATTTATTTTAAGGAATGCAGCTCAATAGTGCCAATATTTGATCATTCCAGTTAACATTTGATAAAGGTCCTAGTTAGGGAAGAAACTTTCAAAATCTACAACATTGCTTTTCAGTGTCCTAAGGAAACAGCTTGAACTTAAATAAATTAACATTATTTATCATAGGGTGAGTCTGTGTCCAGTTTGCTCAGGAATAGTCCTTAGTTTATGTCTGTTGTCTTCGCATAATTGTCTTTCCCTTTTACATATCACATATGACCAGGTGAAACCTTGGAAGAGATTAGTGTTCTTTACATTTGAGTCTGCCTTCTCAGGTTGTGCTGCCCACCCTTGCACTGAGTGACCGGCCAGACCTCGAGTCTGTTCTCCGTCTTCAGTTTTGGTTACGTGCAGGGTGCGGTGCTGTCAGGGCGCACTTCAGGCTTTCATCGTTCTCAGCAGTGCAGTTCCTCGGCTTGATAACTTCTCTCCTGTCGCCTTTGTTATTTTTACTGCCCTGTGCCTCCTTTCTCTTTGACTTATAAGTCTCTTGTACTCTTGTTCCTGGCAGTTTGAACATGCCTCAAGTTTATGTTTCTTGAATCTATCTCATATATAATGCCCTACAGGGTAGTCCTTCCCTTACTTGACCCCTTGGCATTGGCCATTCTCTCTCTTTTTGAAAATATTTTATTTATTTATTTTTAGAGAGAGGGAGAGAAACACCGATGTGAGAGAGAAACATCAATCAGTTGCCTCTAGTGTGCACCCTGACTGGGGACTGAACCCACAACCCAGGCATGTGTCCTAACTGGGAATGGACCCATCAGTCTTTCACCTTGTGGGACGACACCCAACCAACTGAGCCACACTGGTCAGGGCAGTTCTCTCTCTAAACCCCTCTTTATGTTCTTGGTTTTGGTGTTTCTCACTGTCTCTGGCTAATACTTCTCAGACTCTTTCACAAGTACCATTTCCTCTGCTTAGCCCTTAAATCTTGTTTTTTTTTCCCCCACCTCCAGGGTCTACTTTCTCCTAGGCTGGTCCGTGCTATTTGCATTCCTTCATCTGCCACTCACATGTCAGTGACTCTCAAATGGGTATCTGTTGTCTATGCCTCTTTTGAGCTTTGGCCTCATACATGATGCTGTCTGTTAGACAACTCTCCCAGAATGGAACTGTTGAGCTCCCCCACCATCTACCTGGGCGTGCAGCTGTGTCCCTGTGAATTACTGTGGATTCCACCACCACCCTGCCGCACTTGTTATTGCCTTTATATTCATTAATAGATCTCTGTAATCCTCGGGATACAGTCCACAGATCTGCATAACCCATAAGCTCTTTCATGAGCATGCCTCTGTTTATTTCTCTGGTGTCTTTTCTGTCACCTTGAACTGCATTTCAGACATAGAGAACAATTTGCCCTTCCTTGAGTATGCAGAAGTGGCTATCTCTGCCTGGCTTTCTCACCTGATCCCCTACCCTCTTTTGCTGGTAAATTTCAAAATGTCATTTAAGAGATCTCAGACTTCAGGTATGCTCACGTCTAGGAATCCTTCTATTACCACTCAGATTGTTAGGCTCTCCGCCTTATCAATGTCTGTTGTCTTTACTCTTTATTTTTTATAGGTCTGTGAACTTAAATGGAAGGAACCTTGTCTTATGTCTTCGAGAAACCCTTGTACCTACCAAGACATTGGCCACATAGTAGGCACTTTGTTAACATGAATGAATGACTTCCTTACTTTGATTTTGTCATTTTCTGGAATGTAAGGTGGTCAGAGCATATTTCCCTTTGTTTGTTTAACTGTAGTCTCCTTTCCTAGCTTTTCCTGTCAGTGAGTGCTAGATTCCCTGTGCAATATTGTGATTCATAAGAAATACATGTTCGGTCATTCAGATGATTAAAAGTATATTTCTCATGTGTATTTGGTCTTCATCCATGGTTCCAAGTTACACAGTTCCTGGAATTGCCTAAGTGAGAGGCGCCCCCTTAGGTGTCCTTTGTTATGTTAATGACAAAAGGGGTGGGGGCTGGTTGCCTGGATGCACCCCACCACAAAGAGGTCGGAATTTCAGCCCCATCTCCTGACCCCCAGGGAGGAGAGCAGGGCTGGGGGTTGAATAAGTTGCCAGTGGCCAAGGATTTAATCAGTCATGACTGTGTAATAAAGCCTCTACAAGAACACAAATGACAGCAGTTGGAGAGCTCCTGGGTTGGTGAACACGTGGAGATTTGGGTAGAGCAGTGTGCGTGGATGCTTCAGGTCCTTTCCCCACACCTTGCTCTGTGCACCTTCCATCGGGCTGTTGGCCTGACTTAAGAGCTGTTACAGTAAACCAACACTCAGTAAAATGGTTCTCTGAGTTGTGTGAATCATTCTGACAAACCTGAGGAAGGGGTTATGGGAACCTCTGATTCACACCTAGTTGGTCAGAGGTACACGTGATAACCTGGACTTACTACCGGCATCTGTAGAGAAGCTGTTAGCAGTGTAGGACTGAACCCTTAACCTGCAGAATTTGATGTTTCTGTCCAGGTTGATTGTATCAGAATTGATTTGGATTGTAGGATACGCAGCTGGTGTCCCAAGAATTGCTTGTTGGCTGGGGAACATCCCCACACACTGGAATTGGTACCAGAACTGATTCTCCCGGGCTTGAAATCTCTGCCAGCTTTGATTCCTCTTTCATTTGTCTTCTACTTTAAACGTCAGTCTCTTTGCTCCTTTACTCCAAAATGCTGGCTGCACTATTCATTATGTGCTGCCACCTTAGGCTAGGTTATCATCTCTTACCTGAGCACCACAGACAGATACTATTTGTGAATTCATTGTATTAAAAGCATATAGATTTTTTCCTTTAACTTTTGGATTTGGAGTCTTGAGGGTCTATTGCAGCTAACCCCTCAAACTGTCACCATAATGTTGGTCATCCCTTGCTATCCCATTTCTTCTGTCACTGCATGTCAGCATAGATGCTTTAACCCAGCCAGGTGGTACCCCATGCGGCTTCCTGAATTCTCGTCCTACTGTAAAGTTGTTGCTTATATTCTACCTCTCCAAATGTTGTCCCTCCTTCAGAGCCCCATTGAGCTTCTGCATCTTCGCTAAGACTTTCCTCAAGTCCACACTGACAGTTCATTCCTCTGATTGCCTTTTAGTTTTTATATTCTGTCCCCATTCATTGTGACACTTAATCATCCACTTGCCTTGCTTTGTTGCCAGAGGCATGAACATAGAGGGCAGATTTCTTGAGGCTAGGGATGTGTTTTACCCTTCCCTTTGTAACCCTGTCAGCACCTGAGGTAGCATCTTGAACACGTTGGGCACTCAGTGAGCACTTGGTGGGGGGGGCGGCTCCTGTGGTCATTCTTGAGACTCTGTAGCCCAAACATTCCTGCTTCTAGGACTGTGCTCAGTGGATAGCCTGAGGATGTTCTGTGTCTGAGTGACTTAGCTCGGAGTTAAAGTTGGGCTGGTTCTGCTGCCTTGTAAAGTAGATACAGCCTTAAGTTGCCATTATTTTGAGGCCATTGGGGGATTTTTGTTTAATGTCAAGGTATTTTTACGGGCCTCTTATCTAATATTAAGAATGTTATATATAATGTCAAGATGAAACTTTGAGTCAGTCACTCAGGTGTAAAGGTGATTAGATTTTCACTTTACATTTGATACCTTGTAGCTCAGAGGTGTCAAACTCATTTTCCCCGGGGGCCACATCAGCCCTGTGGTTGCCTTCCAAGGGCCGAATGTAATTTTAGGTGTGTATAAATGTAACTGCTCCTTAACTTTTAAGTGAGAGCTCCGTGCTGCCGCCAGAAAGAAACAAGGTGCCAGGCCAGATAAAACAAGGGGGAGCGGCCTGCGGGCCTTGTGTTTATCACCTGTGTTATAGATAGTGAACATCAGTGATTTTCATGATCTGGTGAGCTTTTATAGATTTATCACTTATTTTTTCTTTTAAATCTTGTCTTTAGGCTTTAATGACTGATGAAACAATATCCAATGTGCCAATCCTTATCTTGGGTAACAAAATTGACAGATCAGATGCAATCAGTGAAGAAAAACTCCGTGAGATATTTGGGCTTTATGGGCAGACCACAGGAAAGGTAAGAGAAAAATCTTCAGGGGACATATTACGAAGGAAATTCACAGGTTTTGAAACAACTTTTTTGCATAGTTCCTCAGTCTTGGCTCTTGGTTATCTCTTTCTTCCCAGAAGTGCTTTCTTTAATATGTTTAGTTTCCCTTGTTCTTCATGAGTGTTACACATGCATGAATTCTTAATTTCTTCAGTATAATCTGCTATTAGCATGTATTTCTGAATGTTTGCATTAGTGTGAATATCTTTATTTCTAAAAAGTCCCAGACCTCTTTTGTCCATCAAAGACCATGCTGGTTCTATGGGTCGCAGTGGCCTTTTTCTCATTTTGCTGCATTAGCTGGCCAGTGAGTGGAGGTGTGTCCAAAGCAAATGCTCTTCATAGAGAGAGTGGCTGGGACTAGGACTGAGCTGTCCTGTAAGCATGAAGCCCTGGAGAGGGCACCTGTGTTGCCTTGACCACATTTTTTGTAATTAATCCCTCCTTAGATTTGCTTTGGAGAAATGAAGAAAGTTATCTTTGTGATCACCCTTTCATATTTTGTCCTCATGAGGGTGTTCACAAGCCTTTCTTGGTTTTTGTCTCCCTTAGGGGAATGTGACCCTGAAGGAGCTGAACGCCCGCCCCATGGAAGTGTTCATGTGCAGCGTGCTCAAGAGGCAAGGCTATGGCGAGGGCTTCCGCTGGCTCTCCCAGTACATTGACTGATGTTTGGACAGTGAAAATAAAAGAGTTTTACTTCTCTGGACTGATCCTATTCACAGCTTCCTCACGAACTTTTCTAATAGAACAAGGAAAGCTCTCCACAACCATGTCTGGCGTCGAGAAGCCAAGAATCTCTGTCAGCTCTCTCAGCGCCCAGTGGTGACGCGTGCTCTTTCCATACTGTCGGGAGGTAACCCTGCCCCGTGCGCGGGTGCAGGTCGGCACCCCGGGACTTGGAAGCAGGATTTGCTGGGGAAAGCTGCATGCCCTCATGGGACACTTGTGAAGAAAAACACGTCTCACCACTGTGGTTGATTTCAAAAGAAAGTGATTCTATTTTTTAAAGAAAGTGTTGTTAATGTAATTGGTTTCCCTTCTAACTTTTTCAGTTTGTAATTTACTTGGTCCAGAGTTTTCTATTCCTTTTTTTTTAAATCTAGTGAATGGCATATAGATACGTCATAAAATTATGCACAGATACATGTTGGAGGCCAGCGCTCAGTCAAGCGAACCCAGTCCGTGGAGTTAGCAGGCTGGGGAGAGAAGCCCCCTGTCTGTCTGACTGCCTCATGGCAGTGGCAGCACCTTGTGCGCAGAACAGGAAAGAGCAGAGCCCTGGCCTTGCAGTTGCAGCAGTTTCCACCGCGGCGAGCTAGGGTCATTCCTCATCACGGAGTGTGTAGCAGATTGTTCACGCGGAAGAGTTAATTACAGAGTGGGTTATTATTATTATTATTATTATTACTTATAAAGTTACAGATTTCAGCCAGTCTTTGCTTTTAATGAACTGTTGTGAAGTGTTATTTCTCACTGTAGCACCTTTTTCATGTTCGGTTATCAAAAGTGACTTCTGCCTCATGCACGTGTCGAGGACATCTCCTGTGTCGTCATGCACTGCTGGTGTGTCAGTGGCTTTTGCACAGATTTTGGGGGGATTTTTCTGAATAGGAGAGTCATACAGGATAAAGTTAACGGCTTAAGGGCTCTTAACTCTTTGATTTGAGGACTTAAAAATCTGGTATTGTAGCATTTGGTTGAATCTAGGAAAGATTTACTCAGTGGACTTTAAATTTTCCACTGGCAGAATTTGGTCTCTTTATTGGACTGTTCATGAGCTTTTTTCTTTTTTTTAATCAGTTACCAGGTTTTTTTGGTGTTTAAAGGTTAACATCTGTAGCTTTTCCAGATTTGTTTTGCATGAAATTGTCTTTCTCCCTAAGCTGGGGAAACTCTAACCCAAAAACTTAGTGTGGTGCTGTTGTTTTTGAGCCAGCATCACTTACTGTCAGGCAGCAGTCGGTACTGAAGCCACCATGTCCCCGGGAGTGTGATGAGGATTATTTTTACAGCTTTCCATTTTCTTAATGCCATGTGTGAAATTGGATTTTCATTATCTTAACCAATTTTCTATCCTTGCAGTAAGAGTGATGGGATCGGAGGTGGTCTAAAGATGGGAGGATATCTTTGTTCATTTTTCCTTTAATGAAAAATCAGAAGTAGTTTCCTCAAAATTGAAAATTGTGATAATGGTGCTTATTTTGCAGATGATTGAATTCAGTGGATTCTTGCTTATAATGTGAAGGAAGGAAAGTGTGCGTAACATATTTTTGGAGTGAGAGAGTATTGTTCTTTAGTTGGATTTCTTATTGTTAGCAGCGTCTTCAGGACTATTAGGCAAGCATATTTTTTCGCTGCCATGTACCAAATGCAGAGGCTCAGTGGAGTATGAGTCTGGAGTGAGCATGGCTTTCATTTATGAGCAAGCATAGCTGGAGTAAGATCGTTGTTGGTTTGGAAAGGGGTTAAAGCCTTAAGTGAACAAGTCTGTCTAACCATGAATTAGTTAACTTGCATACTTTTAATTTACTTTGGCTAAAGGTAACCCATACTTTCCTATCCAGAGACATGAGAAGTATGATTGCTTAACTGTTAGTTTTCTTGTTTTCTTCTTTTCCATTTTCCTTTAATCCCTTCGTAGCAAGCTAGAAACCTCTGGATTCTATGCAGAGCAGCTCTTTGTGAAAGTGGTTTGTTTTGGCTACTGGAGAAAGAAGGGATTGGAAAGTCAAGTAGCACCTGTCTGTTTCTTGCCCCACAGAAAACACCGTTCCCATCATAACAGAGTAGGAAGCAGCTGCCAGAAGGAGCTCAGCCTCTAACAGGATCAGAGCTTGTACAGGAACTCCCATGGACTGAGACTTTCCATTTCTGTTTTACCAGAGTGTGTATACGTCCTATTTCTGGAAGAGTAAACAGTCATTTACAAAAGAAAGTCAATGTGTAGCCTAAGCATTTTAATAAAAAGTTAAAACAAAGTTGCTGTCTTGCTACCCCCCCCCCTTTTTTTTTTGCATTGGGTTGTGAATTTCAACACATCATGACATTTGTTGTGCTGGGAAAAGCCAAAAAATTTTCCTATTTATGGGAAGAAACATATACAATGGGTGTGAGAGATTTAAATCTTGGTACCAGAAACAAAAGGCTAAGCCAATTTACACATTCTACTAGAAGCAGTACATTAGTGCTGTCTGAGAGCCTTGGAGCGTGCTGTGGTCCCAGTGATGTGGACTCCGGCCCGCGAAGTCCGTGTGTTGTGGCTGCAAGAGACAAATTCACACAGGCTACAGAAGTCCAGTGGAGAAAAAGGGACAGCGTGGCCACTCGAAGCGAGAGAGAGAGCCCCGGCCCCTACCTGGACAGGCTTTTATTGCTTTTCTGGGTATATTACATTGAGGAAGGTCCTCATTTACTATGCACAGGTTCGCTGTAGGCGATTACCTTTTACAGATAACAAAGGAAAGAATGTTACTAATTACTTCAAAGAGAAGGATGTTACAGATCAAGGGAAAAGTGGTTGAACTGGTTACACTCCATACTTGGGAGATTTAGCACAGATTTTAGGTGACAGATACGCCATTAAGCATTTGCTGCCTCAATCCAGGGTGAGGGAGTCTCCATACACTGCACAAATCTTTGTTTTAGTTGTGTTTTTATCTTTCTTGAGATAATAAAGCATAATATGCTGAAAATATTGCGTGTTTTCTTCCAACTTAAGTATTAACATTCGGTATTAAAATAGCTGCACAAAATTTCACCAATTTTGATGTGGTTTTTTTAAAACGCACGCTGACATGACAGCTGTCACAATATAATCTAACAAAATTGTTTTGAATGAAGTCAAAAGATAATTAAGCACTGCTAGAGCCATCATATGGAGAAAACGAAACACTTTGGCCAACCCAAAAGAATGGGAAGCTAAATGTAAGGTTATTTTTGACTAAGTATTAAAATTATTGGAGGTGTCCTGTGATGGAAACTGATGTCCATGTTACTGTGAAAGGAGGCCGTGGGTTCTATGTTCATATGCATTTGTGTTGCTTGAGTTGGAGTGGAACAGAACGGCTGAGTCAATGAGCCCAGTACTCAAGGGGGCCTCACTTCGGCTGTTGGCCTAGACTTGGGACTTTGTAGTGTGATGTGCCATAAACAGAAGAACCTACCATACAAGATTCTGGAGGCTTGAGCGTCACTAAGGGAGAATCAGTGGACTCCAGAGAGAAAGAAACCCCTTAATTGCTAGGTAGTTGGGATAATTGAGAGAGTTCACTGTACTCAAGCCATCTGTGTCACAGATCCAAAACAAACACAAAAACAAACTGCTTGCTCTGGGAACTGCTCATTCCTCTCCTGCCTCCTGCTAAAATGGATGATTGTTTCCCTTTCTCACCCAGGTTTGGTACTGGGAACACTGAGCATTACCCTGTGCTGTGCTGGGGCCAAACCAACCAGCATTAGCTTTATTCAAAAATGTGAGGCAGAAATGTAGTATAGTTTCAGTAGTTGAATAGTTTTCATTAATGCTGACAAATATGCACTAAAATAATATTACTAAAGTGTGTATTTTAGTGATAAATGTCTACCTTGTGCTGACTGCTTTGGGGATATCCTGAAGCCCCTCAAAACATACTCATGCTCCTCTGCCCTCAAGGAGAACTCTGGGAAAGTGAGGATGTTTCATGTTTGCTTACAACAGTGATGGCAAACTCTAGCTCCTGGGCTGGACCTGGTTTGCTGTTTATGGCCTATGAGGGAAAACATGTTATTTTGTGACATAAAGATTGTATGAAATTCAAATTTTAGTGTCCATAAAGTTCAGTTAGAACACAGCCACCCCATTCCTTTGGCTTTTGCATGCTACAACTGCAGATTTGAGTATGTGTGACAATGTGTGGCCTGTAAAAACTAAACTACACTCTGGCTCTGGAAAGAGAAAGTGTTTGGCCCCTGACCCAGATAAATATTGGTGGTGGGGGCGGTCATTATGTGATAGGTGCATGCTGCAAAAGATAGGCTTGTATAATTAAGATTTTTTGCTTCAACCACTGTCATAGCCTATTTTAAAAGGCAATTTTATTTGGAGCAAATCCAGGTTTCATGGGATTTGTTGTGTTGGGCTTTGGCCTCAAAAGACCTGAGGTGTAATAGTAAGCTCCATGTTCCTAGTGGGTTGCTGTAGGGTGTACTTAAAAGGTAAAAAGATTGAAATGGCCAAGTATTTCTTTGCCGTATTATCCCGTCAGAGGTCGAATGTCACCTAGACCTAGGCAGATGCTGACAGTTGCTGTCACGGCCTGGGCAAGTCTAGCCACGTCAGCGCATATATATTTTCTTCTCTGTCGATTGAGACTAAGGCTCGGAGGGATCCGCCCCCTGTCCCTCCCCTCAATCTTCTGGTGAAGCCGAAAGCCGGTTACTCCCCTGGGGCTCATCCCAGGGGACTGCAGCGTCCTCTAAAAGGCACAAGTGGCATTAATTTACAGGGGCGGGGAGAGGAGGAGGGTTCAGCCTCAGCATCCAATCAGAGCTTGGCCTCATGTCCAGCCAATCACGTTAGTTGGGTTTAGCCAATCGCCCGGAAGAGGAAGACTGGAGTCAGTGATTGCGCCTCTCGCTTCCAGCTCGGGGTGGCGCTTGTGGGGGTCACAGGTGACCGTGGGGGTTCTCGCTTGCTCCCTAGTTATGGAAGCCCGGGCGCACCTCCCGGAGGCATGAGGCGACAATGGGAGCCTGCCATGAGGGTAGCCGAGCAGGCGGGCTGTGTGGTGAGCGCCTCTCGGGCCGGGCAGCCCGAGGCGGGCTTGTGGAGCTGCAGTGGGGTGATCCTGAGCCGAAGCCCGGGCCTGGTGCTTTGCCATGGCGGCATCTTCACCCCTTTTCTGCGGGCTGGCAGCAGGGTGCTGACTGAGGCCGGTGCCAGCTTCCTGCCCCGCGACAGTTGCGGCGATGACCTGCGCCTGCACGTGCAGTGGGGCCCAACGGCCGCGAGTCTCTCAGGCCGCGTCGAGCGCGGCCGCCTGGGGTTGTGCACGCCCCAGTGCGCCGGCCTGGAGCCCAGTCCCCCAGCCCGGCACCGCGGCCGGCCCCTGGAGCCCCCGCACCCTGCTGAGCTGCTGCTGTTGCTGAGCTGCCCGGACTTCCGGGCACACTTCGCGAGCCTCTTCGGGAGCGAAGCGGCCGAACAGTGGCGCTTCGCAAGCGCTGCACGGGAGGAGGAAGTGTCGGAGGAAGAGGAGGAGGATCAGCTGAGAGCTCTGAGCTGGTTCGCGCTGCTGCGTGTGAGGCACGGCCTGGAGGAGGAGGCAGACCTGCGCGGGCCAGCAGTGGCCGTGGTGCCTCTCGGGACCGTGCCCAAGGGCACTCCGCTGCTGGCCTGTGGCTCCCCGTTTGGGTCCTTCTGCCCTGACATCTTTCTCAATACACTCAGCCGCGGTGTGCTCAGCAACACTGCGGGCCCGCTACTGCTCACCGATGCACGCTGCCTGCCGGGCACTGAGGGTGGTGGCGTGTTCGCAGTGCGACCTGCGGGGGCACTGGTGGCGCTGGTGGCGGCGCCCCTCTGCTGGAAGGCCCACGAGTGGGTGGGCCTCACACTGCTCTGCGCTGCTGCTCCTCTCCTCCGCGCCGCCCGTGATGCGCTCCGTTCCTTGCACCCCAACACGACTTCCCTGGCCGCTCTTCTGCCCCCCGAGTTGGGCGCCCCGTGGGCCCTGCCAATCCAAGATCCCGGACCCCCGTGGGCAGCCGCAGCCGTTCTGGTGGAGTGTGGCACCGTCTGGGGCTCTGGAGTGGTCGTGGCGCCCCGCCTCGTGGTGACCTGCCGGCATGTGGCACCCCGCAAGATGGCCAGAGTCCTGGTGCGCCCCACCACCCCCAAGTAAGACCCTCAAGCGTGCTCCCACTCGAACCCCTCGCTAGGTCTGAGGTCTGAATTTTATGTCTTCTGTTTTAATCCTCAGGATTATGGAGGCCTTTTAGCGTCACGCTGATGATTTGAAATCCTCCCCTCATCCTTGGTATCCAGTACCCCGGTATTGGGGATCCTGGGCCTCTTGGCAGGGACTGGATGGGGCTTGGGCAAGATGATAAGCAACTCTGGATTTGGAAATTATGGGGCACACCTGCATCCCTGCCTGGGCATCTTTGACCTCCCTCTCCCAGTCTGGCTTCCTTCTGTGCAACTTCTCAGTCTCATACCCCTGCACACACCCATCACTGGGTCCTTTGAATGGGGACTTCCTAACCATGCCCCTCCATTCCCTTGATAATGGTAGTGAAGTCCCAGGGGCCCAGGATGCTGTTCTCCATGGATGATGAGTTGAGCCTGTTCATCTTACTTATCTTGTAGATCTTAACCAGTGCTTCCCATCTGTATCAAAAGGATAGGTGTGGGGTTCCAAATCATTACACTGTGGGAGGGGGGCCCAGGCAGATAGATTTTGAACAATCTGGGTGATCCTGGTGGATAGCCAGGTTGGGACTTTCAGGCAGTCATTTGTTCCCTCTCTGCAGGGAAGGGCACGCTTGCCCTTCTTCCACTTGCTGTGACAATGGGAACAGCGACCTTGGCTTACTGGTTGATTTTTTAGCACATGTTCTTTCTATTTCCTCTGTAGTTTCAGGTGATTCACTGAGGCCAACACCAAACAGCAGATACTACCTTGGTGTTAATGCCTGACAATCTCTTGTACCTGCCGGTGAGGCCTGGCAGCCCAGGCCTTTCAAAACCCTTCGGCTGAACATCCGAGGTTAACCCAGCCTGGCTTTGCCATAGAGGTAGCCACTGGTGGCTAACAGGACAGCCATGATTGATGAGAATTTCCTTGTCTGTGTACTCCCAAGTACCTCACCACCCCCCGCCACTCTTGGCCCTAAGAAAACCAGCAGGTCTGCTGGAAGCTATGCGGGCAGAGTGTGCAGCAGGGAGCCCCTATGTGACCTAGCGCAAGTCACTTAATTAAGCTGCCTCGCCTTGAGTTGACATGTGAAGTCTTGAAACAGAGCCTGGCACATAGTGAGTGCTGTAGAAGGGCTAGTATTTATGTGAACAAGGACCCAGAGGGGTGAAATCACACCTGACCCACCGATTGACAGGACTGCCCATATCCAATGAAGCAGTGAATGAAAATGCTGGGCATGTTTGCTCTGGCTTCTATTACTTATGTGACCTTGGGCAAGTTATTTCACCTCTCTGGGTCTCAAATACATGATCTAAAGTGGAGATGACATCACTGCCTAGTTCATAGGGATGCTGTGAGGACTGAATGAATGATGTTCATAGAGCGTTAACACTGGGCCTGGCCCACAGTGCTCACTAAGTGTCAGATCTTTATGGTCGTGGTGACGTGCACGAAACTTTGCAATTGGTAAATCACATTTGGAAAGACCGCAGAATGATTAAATGACCTGCCTGGAGCTGTCGGCCAAGTAGGTTTCAGGGCTGAGACCAGATCTTTTGACTCCCAAGCCGATGACTTTTACTGTCACTCATGCCCTTGCTTCCTCCCAGTACTAAAGAGCCAGAAATCCAGCCTGTCATTTTATTTCCCTTGCTTCCAGGAGCGCCAAGATCTGGGGACACGTGGTGTTTGCCACTCGGGAGACATCTCCATATGACATAGCAGTTGTGAGCCTGGAGAAAGAACTAGAGGGTGTCCACATGCCTGTGCCCACTGAGCACTTCCACGAAGGTAAAGGACAGAGGGGCCCTCTGATCTGGGGTGGACCTTTGGAAGGAAAGTCAGTGTTGGATCAGGGAGCCAGTCCCCCAGGCCAACTCCCCTCCCACTCCTGCTGGACTAGTAAGTCAGGGTGGCATCATGCTGGCAGGAAATCTTCCTGGTTACAGTGCTTTGGCCAGAGATGCACTTGGGGGCTTCCCTTCTTGTGTCTCATGTGCCACGGTGTTGAGAGACAGGTGGAATCCTCAGCTATGGAGAAGGCACGTCCCTTTCCTGCAGCAGTATAGCAGGGAGGTGCTGAGCCTTGAGGGCTCCTTATAACACTGCAGGCTGGTCAGAGAGATGTTGCTCTTTCATAGCTTCAGTGGCATGATTTCAGTAACAGGTTTGTGATGCTGCCACAGAAGCGCCAGAGGTCTCCCTTTGTGCATGCAGTGTGACATAACTACAAAGAGCACACGCTCTCTGAGCTGGCATCTCTTCTGCCACTTACTAGTCCTGTCCTCACACAGGCAACTTGATGCTCTCTCAGTTTCCACAGCTGAAACTGGGGATCTCGACCTACTCCTGGGCGTTGTGAGGTGTGGCTGAGATGTTGCCTGGAGAACACTCAGCCCCATGCCCTGTGCATTCAAACCCTTGGTAAAGGAAGGGTTTCATCACCATTTTTTTCACCAAGAGACTTCTTAGCCCCAGGAGGAGAAGGATGTTAATTCTAAAAACATTTGTTGAGCACCTAGCTAGGTTCTAGGAACACCAAAAGGTGACTCCCCAGTTAGCAGGGGCCAGAGGGCTGGGGAAGGGCCTGATGCTGAGTAGTGGTTGAGCAGGTGCAGTGCTGGGAGCTCAGTGGAGGCCCCGACCACTTCCCGTGGGGCCTTCGGGAAGGCTCTCTGAAGGCAGGAGTATCTGAGCAGAACCCCGAAGAGCAGAGTGTTGGGGACTTTGGAGAGGGCAGGGATGGGATTGGGGAGGAAGAGTCCTGCCAGACAGAGGAGGAGGCTTTGCAGCTTTGTCCTCCTTCCTTCTCTGGCAGGTGAGACCGTCAGCGTGGTGGGCTTTGGCGTTTTTGGCCAGGCTTGTGGGCCCTCGGTGACCTCGGGCATCCTGTCAGCTGTGGTGCAGGTGGATGACACACCGGTGATGCTGCAGACCACATGTGCCGTACATGGTGGCTCCAGTGGGGGACCCCTCTTCTCTACCTCCTCAGGGGATCTCCTGGGTAAGCAGCTCCTTGGCTCTCTCCCAGGCTTCCCCTTGCCAGAGCCTCAGTCCTGTCTAGAAAGGACTTGGTGTCCACCCCTGTCTGGGAAGATGGTGTCATTATGCCCAGGAAGCAGTTAGCCAAGGTTTTCAGGCCAGTCTGCTTCTGAGGGTGAAAGGTGACGGATGCTGGGCTGCAGGGGAAGACAGCTGGGTTCTGGTTCCTCTTCTGCCACTGAGCCACAGTATGGTCTTAGGTAAATCACTTCACCTCATTCAATCTGTGAAACTCGGGAGCTGGATTAGTTTAAGGGTCACAAACTCCATAGCTTACAGAGGCTGAGCACGCAAAAGGAATGGACGAGTGAGTGAAGACAGTTTGGAGTGGAGGGTCGAGGTAAACGGGTGAGCGTCACTCAGCTCCCGCCCGTTGCTGCCACATTATGAAGGAATGTGAGCTAACGCTGGCTGATCTCCAGTTTTTCACAGGAAGCTGTGAACACCCCCTTCTTCTTTAAAAAAATATGGTGGTTAAATCAATTTTTAAATTTTTGTATTCAGGTTTTTTTTTTAAGGAAGGTCTATTAAAAAACAAAACAAAACAGCGAACATGAATCTATGTGGCACCTGCACTGCCCAGTGGTAGCCCAGCACACAGGGGGCTCACGCGTGCTTCCGCTCCTCTCATTTCTGATTGCTCTCTCTCACAGCAAGAGATCTTGCTCTTGCTGGCTACAGTTGATTTACTTATTTCTTCAACTATAGTATACAAATAAAGACAAATCAGCATGACTTTAAAAAATACATACAGATAAGTGCATACAGAAATGAATATATATGTGTATGTATGCACAAGTTAATATAAGTATATATATATATATATATATATATATATATATATATATATATATATATATATATATATATATATCCCAGCTCTGTCTGCTGTGACACCCTGGTTGCAATGAGCACGCCGAGAACCCAGATCTTGGTTTCTAAGAGCCATTCTTGAATAAAAGGAACTGGGAACTGGTTGATAACCAGGACAGGGACAGGGAAAGCCCAAGCTGAGTCGGATCATCTTGTACTGGAAAGGCAGGAAGTACAACAACGAGATGACCGGCTCTGTCGAATGCTGAAAGAACCAGAGCCGACTTGAAGGAGCTCCCGTTGGAATGACTTGAGCAACAAAACAAATAGCAGTAGGACTAGATTATAACCCAAAGAGAAGAATGAATATCTGCATGTCTACACTGCTATGAGTAAATAACCAAACAAATGTTAAAATGGAGACAACTGCTCTTACTTACAGAAGATTTCCAATTAATAAATGCAGAAATGAGGGGAACCGAAAATCACTATTGGGTTACCACAGTAGGAATTGCTGCAGACAGAATCCACCAATGGATGCTAAAGTTTGTGGGCGAGAGTTTAAATAGAAACAGGATATTTGCCTAACTCTAAAACATTTGGTGCTTTACACAGGGGGAAATAGTAAGTCTACAGTGGGGCAACCTGGGAGATAACCAAAATAACTACTCTTCACAGTGGCAGGGCCACAAAAGGTAAAGAAAGACTATGGAACTGGCCCAGATTGGAGACTTAGGAGGTGCAACAACTAAATGCCCTGTGGGATCCTGGATTGCCTCCTAGAACAGAAAAAGGGCGGTAGCAGAAACATTGGAGAAGTCCGAGTGAGTCCTGTGCTTTAGTTAATAACATTGGCTAATTTGTTGGTTTTGATCAATGTGTTACGGTGACATAAGCCGTTAACAGAAGGGAAAGCTGGGTAAAGGATCTACAGGAACTCTGTACTATTTGGCCAGGCTTCTGTAAGTCTAAAATTGTCTGAAAAATGAATGCATACACGTGCGCACACACAGGCACACTAAGCAAGACAAACAGAACGTGTCTGTGGGTTTGATTCATTTCTGCATCCACTCAGCAAGTATTTATGAGGTCTCCTCTGTGCTGGGCACTGTTGTAGGTGTGGGGAGGCTGGGTGAACAAAACATGGAAGCCCTGCCCTTGTGGACCTGACACTAGTTAGAGAGATAACAAAATAAGCGAAACATAGTGTGTTAGATACTGACAATGTTGAGAATTTTAAGGCAGGAAGGGGGACCAGGGTTTGGAGAGCTGGTGTCCACAAAAGAAAGCCTGGCATCTGTCATCATGAGGGGCCTTCAAGTCTCTGGTAGGCCTAGGGCCTTCGTGATGGAGATGAGCCTCCCTTTCCATCTGTCTGTGTCCTGACTCACAGCTCCTTTTCCTCTCTGACTCCTCAACAGGCATCATTGCCAGCAATACCCGGGACAATAACACGGGGGCCACCTACCCGCACCTGAACTTCAGCATTCCCATCACGGTGCTCCAGCCGGCCCTGCAGCGCTACAGTCAGACTGGCGACCTGGGTGGGCTCCGAGAGCTGGACCACGTCGCTGAGCCTGTGAGGGTGGTATGGCGGCTGCAGCGGCCCCTAGCAGAGACCCCGAGGAGCAAGCTCTGAGTCTGTGTCACCCTTGGGAGAGAGGAGTAACCATTTTATGCCTGGGGAGTGCCAAGGTGATGGCAGCCTCAGGATCGTGGCCTGGCATGCCCCAGCTGAGCAGACCAGGTAGGCCTGGTAGTACAGGCCTGGGGTAGGCCAGGTAAGCACCCCATCACCACCTGCCTTGTTTGGCCCTGGATCAAACTCCAGCCCCGTGGGTCTCCAGGCTGGTGGCCCATTTTGGGGTGCTTTCTTCAGCCCCCACCTCTCTGCCCCTGGCACTAGACTCAGCTCTGTTACTCCCCAGCTGGGGAGCCTGGCACAACAGCCCTGGTCCTGATGACAGACGCGTTGGCGGGCAGGCAGGCCCAGCCCTGCTCTCGAGTCCCTTCCCTGTCACCCCATGGCCGCTGGCCACCCGAGTGGTTGCTTCCCTGGGGCCTCGACTCCTGTCGCTCTCTGTCAGAATGGGCGGCCGGCAGGCCCCTGGCACCCCCTCAGAAAACCTCGGCAGAGAGACCCTGCCCTGAGGACCAGAGACAAAGGAAAGGGAGCTCCTTGTTCTTCCTGACCTAGGGGGAGGTAGAGTCCTCGGAAGTCAGGACTCCTGGGTCTTCATATGTCAGGTGTCACTGACCTGCGGGGGCACTCTGACACAGTGCCTTACTTTTCCCAGCCCATAAATGGGTCTCAGGAATCTTGGTGGGGCTGGGGCTGGTGGTTAGAGCGTGTCTGGTTGGGGTTTGGGAATAAACGGGACCTATGGGAGGAACTCTTTACCTGTATGTATCACACTCTTTTTTTTTTCCTTTTGGTTTGGAGAGTCCAGTTGGTAATAAGCAAACACCAGGCACAGAAACATACCTTTTCTGTCCCATGTTCTCAGTGGGGTTCGATCTCACAGGATATTCTCAAGCCAAACGGTTCCTGTCACTACCCCTGGCTCCTGGAAATTCGGACAAAAGTCCTTTGTTAGGACTTTTGTCCTAACAAAGGAGCCCTGAAAGGAGCCCTGAAGTTCTGTCCCCGAGCCGGGGCACTGTGGAGTGGGAAGAACGGAGAGATGTGGGGTGGACTGCCTCGACCAGGGTGTGCGAGGAGTCGCACCAAGGCCCCCTTCCCTCTCGGATCGAGGTGGCGCCTTGTCACCAAGATGTTGAATGGCAGTCGGACATCTTCTTGGTTTTGGGGGTTCTGGGTAGGTCTTTGGAGATGGGCCACCAGCTCTGATATGCCAGGCCCCAAGCCCGGTGTAGGGTCACTGCACACCTCTCTCTCCTCCCTCCTGGCTCCAGGTTTGGGCTGTGGTTTTTTTAGAGCCTCGCCCTTGCACTCTGCCCATTGGAATCCCCTTCATCTGCCGGAGCCCAGAGCTACCAAGAAATCTTCCTTGACCTTCCCATGCCCCAGGGCAGGCTGTAGCGCTGTTTACTTCTGTCTCCCACAGGGCCCCGGGCCGGTGCCCAGTACATTTCCAAGCCTCTCGATTGGCAGTTGAGAGTCTTGCCTGCTCAGCGACCTCCGGCCCCCTTAGGAATCATGCCGGACAGAGGGGTTTCCCTGCAGTAACCTCAAGGCCCAGCCCCTCCGCTGTACTGGCTGCATGACTTTGCCAAGTTCTTAGCTTATTAGCCTCAGTTTGCTCACGTGTGAAACAGATGAATAAAACTGAGCTTACAGGGCCCATGTGAAAATTAAATTTGAGAAGCTATTCAAAGCACTTAGTTTGTTTTCAATAAATATTAGCTATTGTTTTTCTAGACTACTGGTAGGATTGATTAATCAGAAATACATCATTCTGGTTGTTAGGGGCTGGGTGGGGGAAGGAGTGGGGAGTGGGGTTCTGGAATTAGATAATAATGGTGAAGGTTGTACAACCTTCATATCACCGAATTGCACACTTTGTAATAGTGAATTTTATGGCGAGCAAACATCAGTGACCTAGGGAACCAGGTGCTGCGTCAGTGCCAGATGCTGGGGGCCCAAAGTCCAGCAGAGTGAGGTCTCTGCCCCAAAGAGCTGGTCAAGGGTGACTGTTGCTCTCTCCTCAGTGTCAGAGTTTAATCCCTACCCTACTTTCCTGTGGGGGTTTCGGAAGGAACAAAGGGAGATAGAAGCTGTTTGGAAGTTTGTTAAGATCAGGACAAACACAAGGCTGGCTGTGCTGAAGCAGCAAGCCCAACCCACAGCCCTGGGATGGACCCCTGTGAGCTGGTTTCGGACGGGGAGGACCCCGGAGCTCTCCGCACCCACACTGTGACACCGTTGCTCTCTTGGTCCCCCGGGGCTGAGAGAAGGGTGTGGAGACTCCCACACCCCTCAGTATTCCCTCCTTCAGCCTCCATTCATGGAGCAGAGAGCCAGCTGGGACAGGAGGAGAGGCAAGGATTTCAGAGAAGTGGAAGCTGCACGCTGGGCTTCTCAGGCTAACAGTGAGACTGATGCTCACGGGAGCACCCCAGCTCTTCTCCCCGCTGAGAAGGTTCTGGGCACCAACTTCCAGGTGGGATTGATCACAATGCCCCCTACACCAGCAGTAGTGGACACAAGGTCTTTGTCCACAGCTTTTGGAAGAGGTACAGGAAGGGCCATTTCTAGTATAAACACACATGAAAACCCAGGAAGGCGAAGAGCAGTATTCAAAGGGGCACTGGGGCCCTGGCGGGGCGGCTCGGTTGGTTGGAGCGTTGTCCCATACACCGGAGTGGTGCGGGTTGGATTCCCTGTCAGGGCATATGCCTAGGTTGTGGGGTTTGATCCCCAACTGATTTTTCTCTTTCATGTGGATGTGTTGCTGTCTGTCTCTATAAAAATAAATAAACGTGTCCTCGGGTGAGCTGGCTGCTATGTGTTTGCTGCTGCTGTGTGCCAGGCACCACACTGAAACACTTCTCACAGATGATCTCACTGAATCTTTTTCTTTCTAAAATTTTTAAAGATTTTATTTATTTTGAGAGAGGGGAAGTGAGGGAGAAAGAATGGGAGGGAGACATCGGAGTGAGAAACACTGATCCATTATCTCTTGTTCAGGCCCTGACCAGGGACTAACCTGCAAGCCAGCCCTGTGGTCTGACTGGGAATCAGTCGGCAGGTCTTTGTTCCATGGTACGATGCTCGACCAACTGAGCCACACCCGTCAGGGCTCATTGAATCTTTCAAAACTGCTAGGGCGGGTGCTAATATTTGCATAAAACGGAAGATGGCTTTTCTGTCACCAAATGAGCCCGATCCTCCTGCCAGGCTGCAGCTTGGCCAGCCCATTTCTTTACACATCCTACTTGGTCCAAGCTCCTTTTCCTCCACCCCCTCCGTGTTCCCCAGTTTCAGGCTGCCCATCCGATCCCCCATCCTTTCACCACAGAACATAACTCGGACATCACTCTTTTGCTTAAAATCCTGCAGGCAAATCCCATTGCCCTAGGGATGACAGGGCAGTCTTCACCAGGGCCTGTAGGACAGGCTTGTATCAGCCTGCCCACGCTGGCCGCTGCAGTGCCCCTGCCTTCAGCAATTTGTCTGCCTCTGACGAGCACGTGCCTCCTCTCTGCCCCGGGGCTAACTCCTCTTCCTTGCAGAGAGGCTTTAGCAAGCTTCCTTTGCCTGACCTCCCCCTGCCCTGCCGTTTTTCTTATTTGGATGGATGATATACGTTTAATATATTGTGTTATCTTTCCTTACCACTTCCCCTGACATAAGGCAGAAATCACGCCCATTTTGTTTTCCATTTTATCTCCCAGTGCCTAGCCCAGGTCCAGGCATACAGAGGTGCTCCAATGGATTTGCGGGATTATTATTTATACGTTTAAAGGCAGGAGGTTGGTAATCTGCCCACGGTGGCAGAGCCAGTGCCCGGGAGCCAGCCCCCTTTAGTCCGTGTGGCTCTGGCAGACAGTCGACCAAACTTTGTACGGAGTCCGAGGGGCTTGTGCCGAGCCAGGCAGTGGTCTGTTTCAGGGTTGGTGCTGTTCCTACCGCCAGAGGGCGGGCGGGGACCGCCAGCACCAGTCGTTTTTCCCCAGGCCCCACGCCGCCTGGGGCGTGTCCAAAGGTCCTGAGAGTCACGTGGCCGGGACTGGCCTCCGAGCAGTTGCTACTCAGGCGGCCGGCTAGAGCTACACCCGTGGTGGGAGGCTGCCCAAGCGTGAGGTGGCGAGCGGGTGTGCTCTCCGGATCTTTGGAACAGTAACCCCGGGGCCTGGAAAACGCAACGGCCAGCTAGGAGGTCAGTGCGCGTGAGTTGCGGCTCTGGGAGGAAGGCGTGGTCGTCTAGGACAGGGATTTTCAACCGTTTTCAACTAGTGGCACACAAACTACTAAAATTCTGCAGCACAACAACAAAGTTTTTCTTTATCTGACTGAAAATAGGTATAATTTTGATTCATTCACACCAGACGGATATTGTTGTGTTGGCTGTTGTCATTTTTTTAATTTGACAATCCAAAGGAAGAGACATCAGTGCCCCTGACTAAATAGTCAGGCACTGCATGTTGTAAAAATCCTTGCAGCGCACCGGTTGAAAATCGCTGGTCTAGGACCTGGGGCTTGGGGCTGTGCCACCTCAGTTCCCTAAAACACAGAAGGGAGCTTTACTCTAGGCGAGGGCACGGCAAACTCTTTCCGTGACCCCTACCCCCAATTTATGGCTAAGTCTTCCCAGGTAAGATGGGCTCCCTCATTCACCAGCCACCCCGCCACTCCCACCCCTCCCCAGCCCCAAGGGTCGCTGCTGGTTGGAAGCGGAAGCTGCTGTTCTGGGGAAGTGGGAAAGCCTCGTCTCTAGGAGACAAATACCCGGTTACTCCGAGCTCACAGGCTCTGGGCTGCACTAGGAAGTCCTCTTTTCTCCACGAAGCCCCAGGTTCTGCAGGGACAAAGGCCAGCGGCACTGAACTAACTCTGACGTGGCTGGGGGAGCCCAGGACCCCTGAAATCTACCAGGAGCTGCTTTTAGTGGGTGATGGTGGGGTGCCTTCCCCTCCAACAACGGTCCCTGTGTCAACCTCGGTGGAGAGGGGAGAGGCACTTGGGCGCTGATTATCTCACAGGACACCAGGCACAGCACAGAGGGTCTGACAAGTTTGGGGAAGGTGTGTCTTGTGTTCAAAGGTCACTTGTAAAATATGCAAATGTCAAGGAGGCCGGCTTGGGTTTTAGTGTTTGTGTGTGTGCTCAAGAATACGTGTGTGCAAGCCCTGCACTCTCAGACCCCACCCACGTTTGCCCCAGCATCTGGTGAGAAGCCCTTTAAGGGCACTGTGTACCCCAAATCTGGAGGGCCTCCCTTGTAGGGGGAGATTGCTGCTCAGTTGGGCTGGCCTTGTTCAGGACTATCCAGAGTAAGTGGTTGGTGCAGCTGACCAGGGCTGGTGTACTCCAGGCCTGTGTGGTCTTTGGCTGGTGGTGAGATAAGAAAGTGGGATCCAGACACAGGAGGTGAGCAGACCATGGGGGTGTTACGGGAACCACAAAGTGACTGGCTCCCAGGAGGAGGTATGAGTTTTGTGGCCGGGGGTTTTTGTACAAGGAGCGTGTGTAACACTGGAATGAGCCTGTCTGCCTAGAGCTGCCCTCTTCTAGGGCATGAAATGATAGCCCCTTTGTTAAACTTTGAGTCCCTTTCAGAAATTGGTCTTTTAGGGTTATAGTTACCCCGTGTATTCCCAGGGGAACTGGCCATGGACTGCCCACTCTCAGCCTATCCTCTGGCAGTGAGTGAAGCTGAGGGCCTCTCCCTCTCCAGATGGATAGGGGACATTTGTAGTGCTCGGAGTCACACTCTACTGGCCCTCTCATCCCGGATGGCCACTCTGGAAACGGCTGTAGAAGTCCACCCTGGGCATAATCAGCGAGGACTCATAAAACTGCGCGTTGTATTCATAATCTCTGTGAAGTGATCCTGGACCATGTCTTTGCATTGCTCAGAGCCCGCATGGTTCCTGCTGTATGTCTTCTGAGGCATAACCTCTCTACAACTTTGGCATAAATGTAACTTCCTTGTTTTTCAGTAGATTCCTGAAAGCCTCTGTCTGTTTTATTACAGAAGAATCCCCCAGGGTTCAGGCTGAGTGTCTGTGGTAAGTCCTGAGAAAACAGGATTTACTGAGAAAATTCCAGTGCAAACCAGATATGTGTGTGTATGTGTGTGTGTGTGTTTGGGAGGGCCAGAGGTAAATTTCCATAGGGGTGCTGGACAATTAGGATTTGTTCTCTTGGGCCTTCTTTTATGCTAACCTTTCTAAATCTAGGCAGGGTAATTAAGGTGCTCTGTGCTTTCTCCCTTGGCTGGATGTTCAGTTCAAAATCAATGATATGTTTGGCAGTTCCTCAAAAAGTTAAACCCAGAGTTACCATAGGACCGAGCAATTCCACTCCTAGGTATGTGCTTGAGATAGTTAAAAACGTGTTTACAGAACAACTTGTGCATGAATGTTCATAGCAGCATTATTCACAATAGCCAAAAGATGAAAACAACCCAAATGTACATCGACTGATGGATGGATAAACAAAATGTGTCCTAGTCACCCAATGGAATGTTACTCAGTCATAAAAAAGAAGGAAATAGTGATACATGCTAAAGCTTGAATGAATTTTGCAAACATCTTGCCCAGTAAAAGAAACCATGCAGGAAGGCAGCACAGGTGTGGAGTGGGCGGACGTGCGGCCTTGGAGAGCTGAGCGGTTGCTGGGGGCTGTAGGGAGGCGGGATGGGGTAGGATGGCTGATGGGTGTGTTTGTGTTTCTGTTTCCTTCAGGGTGAGGAAAATGTTCTGGTGTTAAGTCATGGTGACGGTTGCACAACTTTGTGAGTGTACTAGGAGCCACTGAATCATACACTTTAAAACAGTGAATTTTAGATGAATAACATCTCAATTAAAAAATTAGTAGGAGGTCTGCCCTGTTACAGCTTTATTATTTCTGTAAAAATGGCACACTTGTTTAAAAATATTCAAACAATACAAAAAAAAAAAGCCCAAAGAACCAAATAAAAACATTATCTGGGACCACTGTGAGAATTTCGGTTTAGGGCGCAGGTCTCTTAGACTGTGAGGACTGAACTTGGGCAAGTTACTGACTTTCCAAAACGGGGAGGAAAACTCACACCTGTTCCGTGCAAAGATGTGGGTGAAAGTGCAGTGCATGCGGGCCGCTGTAATCATTACATGCATGTGTGCACATAGCTAGGCACACTCGTCTGAGTGCCCGGAAGAGGGATTGGCTCTCCATGTTGTTCTAAGTCTCTGAGTTTTTCTTGGACAGACTTTCTTTTCTTAAGGACTTTATTGTTGTAGTTTTAGGTTCAGAGCAAAACGGAGGGCAAGGTGGAGATTCTTCGCATGCCCCCATAATCAAGCACACACAGCCATCTCCATTGTCAGTGCTCCCACCAGACTGGCGTGTTGTTACAGCCGATGGACATGCATTGACTCACTCACCAAACCATAATTTACGTTAGATTCACTCTTGGTCTTGTACATTCTATGGGTGTGGGCAAATCATGGACAAACTTTTCATGTCCATGAAAAAATCACCCACTCTAGCCCAGGCCAAATGGCTCCCTTGGTTGGAGCATTATCCTGTGCACCAAAAAGGTTGTGGGTTTGATTCCCAGTCACAGCACAGACCTAGGCTACAGGTTCGATCCCTGGTCGAAGTGTGTACAGGAGGCAGCTGATCGATGTTTCTCTCTCTCTCTCTCTCTCTCCCTCCCTCTCCCTCTCCCTCTCTCCCTCTCTCCCTCTCTCCCTCTCTCTAAAATCAGTAAAACATGTCCTTTGGCGAGGATTAAAAGAAAAAGAGAGCGTTGTGTAAAGCAAGAGACCATTGTGTAAGGGAGGCTGCTGAGGAGGAGGGGGGAATCAGCTGGGGAGCCGCCAGCCCTAGGTCCCCAAGTGGGAATGTCAGAGGGAGGGTCAGAGGTCAGTAGAGGAGAGAGAAGAGCAGGTTCTAGGAGAGGCCTCAGGCAAACTGGAAGGTAAACAGACCTCCCCTCTCCTTACACAGTCCCTCTGGGCCGGGTGCGTCCTCAGGCCCCAGACCCACCACCACCTTCACTGAGGGCGTGCTAGGCTGGGTAGGCCAGGGTTCGCCCTTTGGGGAAGCCAGTTGATCCTGGGCCAATTCACTGCCTCTTGGGCCTATTTCTTCCCCAGGAAGGGGGCCCTGTGAGGGGCCCAGGGCAGACCTGGTGGTTAGAACTGGTTAGCATGTAGGCCAGAACACAGCCCTGGTGTGACAGGCACCCTGTGTGTGCTGGCCCCTGTCACCTGCCCTCCTGGCCAACCCACCTTGTCCCTTGAGCTCATTCCTTTCTGCCAATGGACTTGGTCCAAGTTGTTACTTCTATGGAGAAGGTCCCTGGCCCAGGTATTTTCGAAGGCTATTTCTTGAGCTTCCCTGGGTGGTCCAGTGTGACCTGACCCATAGTAGACCCCCCTCTCTTGGGCCTGTGCCCAGCCGGCTTGAAGCAGAGCCCCCTGGGAGTTTCCCTGACCTTGTTGGTTGCTGGACCCAAGAGCAGGTTGGCCCAGAGGGAGCTGTGCTGAAGGGGGCAGATGAACGTACCCCTCCCACAGCTGCCCCCTGGTCTGCCATTCTCCCAGGCTCTGCTCAGCTGCAGGTGTTGACCCCTGACCTCTGGCTGGGGCCTGGGGCCTCTTTGGTTTTGGCTCCTGGGAGACATTCTCCTTCTGGCCTAGTTGGAGATTCAGCCTGAAGACCACTCAGGGGGCTGCCTCTGGACAACCTTTCTGAGGGCCTGGGGCGGTGAAGGTGGCACTGCCTGCTGGGGACCTGTCCTGGCCCCAGCCCTGCTGAGGGCTGTGTCCTCATCTGGAAATGGGTAGAATGCATGTGCCCAAATGAATGGGGGACCATTTAGTCAGTGAGGAACAAAAGTTAAATCCCTTCCAACCTGCTCTACCTCCCTCACCAGCTCCTCCCTCCCCCAGGGGAAAGTTAGGCGGTAGGCATTTAAACACCAACAAGAATAGTGCCTAAAGGGCCAACCATAAGCTGCCCCCATTTCTGTGGGGACCACCTTGGGGTCCACTGTGTCTTGAAAACCTATGTATGTAGGGACACCTTGGGGTGTCCCTTCCCATTACAAGGGGTAAATGGAGACCCAGAGAGGGGAGTGCTTGTGCTCCAGGCCACACAGACGGTGCAGGACAGAGTGGCGGTCTTCCAGCAGCTCTCAGTGCTGCCTGAGAGGGCCCCAGGTGGGCTGGAACACGTTTCCGTATCAAGCCTTGGGCAGCTTGCTGTCTGCCCTTCAGGGTTGGCCCGACCCCACTCTCCTTCCCTGCCACCCCCCACCATGCCCCTCTGTGCACTTCCCCTCCCTGAAGCCTACCGCAGCTGTTGGGCCCTCTTGCTGTCTTCTGTGCAGCGTGAGCTTTGCTTCCTCCTTTAGAGTCTCTCCTAGGCAGCCTGGTTTACTTCTGCCTCTCCTTAGAGCCCAGCGTAGGCAAGAAGGAGGTTTGATGGCCTGTTGCCTCTAGCCAGCATCTCCCAGCAAACCCTCACCTCTCCCTGGACTCAGCTGCAGCGGAGACTGCTGTTCAGCTGGCTGCTCCCACCATGGAGCCCTGAGACCCTGCGCCATGAGAGTCCTTCTCCGAGGTTAAGATGGGCTGGACCAGGCCTCTGACTGTGGCCCCAGGCCAGCCCCTCAGCCCTCAAAAGGGACAGACTCTGGGATGCGCCAGGTGACCCAGGCCCTTCGGAGGGCGCGCCTGGTAGATAGCTTCTCAGGCTGGCTGGGGAAGTCCAGGAAAGCTTTGCCACCTCCTCCTTTTTCCTCTGTGCTCAGCAGTCCAGCATCTAGTGGCCCAGGCCAGTGCCATCCTCTGCCTCAGATGTCCTTCAGTGTCCAGCTCCTGGCCAAGGGGTTTTGAATTTTAACTCCTCAGGAACTAAACCAGGTTTGCTGGGAAGTGGCCAGGCTGCACCAGGTCCTGTGTGAGCCTGAGCCTGGGGCATGCTTGGCCCTGCGCGCTCTGCAGATACTTACAGCAGCTCGCCTGTCCCTGGCATCAAGCAGGACTTGCTCCACTCGCCCCCCCAGAACCTGTGTGATCAGCATTCTCCTGAAGTCTTTCTCACCAGCAGGCATTCCTTCTCAGTCTTTAACCAGCACCATTTCTTTCTTTTTTTTTAATTAAATACTTTTGAATTTTATTGTTGTTCAAGTACAGTTTTTTGCCTTCCCCCCTTCCCCACCACCCCAGCCCTCCCCACCTCCCTCCCCTATTTCCACCCCCCTTGTTTTTGTCCATGTGTCCTTTATAGTTGTTCCTGGAAACCCTTCACCCCCCCCCCCCCCCGCATTATCCCCTCCCCCCTGGTTACTGTCAGTTTGTTTTTAATTTCAATGTCTTTGGTTATTGCTTGTTTGTTTTATTGATTAGGTTCCAGTTAAAGGTGACATCATATGGTGTTTGTCTTTCATTTCCTGGCTTATTTCGCTTAGCATAATGCTCTCCAGTTCCATCCACACCTTTGCAAAGTGTAGGAGTTCTTTCTTTCTGCTGCATAGAATTCCATTGTGTAAATGTACCACAGTTTTTTGATCCACTGATTTACTTATGGGCACTTAGGTTGCTTCCAGCTCTGTTTCTTTTCACAGCAGATGTTTCTTCTTCCCCGTGCCTCCTGGGGGGTGTCACCCAGCAGTCCCCGGGTGCCTCCGCGCTCCCAGGAATGCTCTGGAGAATGGCCTGCCCTTGCAGGCCTCTCCTCCCCACCCCACCACCAGGCCCTTGGTCACACCTCACTGTGTTTTGCAGGTGTGTTGTCATAACCTGTCAATTGATCTTAGACCTGGGGCTCAAGCTGGTGATCCATGAGTGGGCAGAATCTGGCCGTGGTGTTTGCGTTGTGTGGGTCTTGAAGAATTTGTTTGGTTCCTTTAATGTGGCCTGTGCTTGCCGTTCCCCACACCTGTGCCTGCCTTTTCTGTTACTGTGCCCCTGGCCAGCTTCCCACTGGGCGCTTGACAAGGGCAGGGACCACTCTGTCTGTCTGTCTGTCTCTGACCATGGATCCATGGCACAGGGCACATTGAGGAGCAAGAGCTCTTCAGGTTACGCGGGTGAGTGAGCAGGTGTACTGAGCAGGGGAGAAAAGTGCAGAACGGTCTAATGTGCGCAGAAACAATCAGGATTGCAGGTGCACTGGGTCTCTCTGGGAGAGTTTGTAGGAACTCAGCAACAGTGGACGCCTTGGAGGTTAGAACTAGGTGGTTGGTGACGGGATGGAGTTATGATACCTCTGTTTCTTTGGCATCCAGATTTTATAGTTAAAATCTTGATAGATGATTACAAAATGAAAAGGGTCAAGCTTTGGCATGTGAGGCCTTTCTCGCTGTGGGCTCGCCCCCGCTGCCCTCCGAGCCTTGTGCCCCCTCTGACTCCTATGTGGTCTCTCCTTCTGTCCCTGCAGGGCGGGTTCGAGATGGGGTCCCAGGTGTCCACGGACGTGAGAGGTGTGCACGTGGTGATCGTTGGCGGAGGCTTCGGCGGGATTGCAGCCGCCAGCCAGCTGCAGGCGCTGAATGTCCCCTTCACGCTGGTGGATGCCAAGGACTCCTTCCACCACAACGTGGCAGCCCTCCGGGCCTCCGTGGAGAGCGGTAACGGGTTCTTTCCGGGGCTTTCCTGCTGGAAGTGGTCTTCGCACTCTGTGGGCCTGGTGCAGGTTTCTTGACTTAGGGCCAGGTGCCTAAACTCTACCACTAGACAAATTCTGGAGAATCTTAAACAGCTACCATACCAAGGCCCCAGAAGTAAGAGCCTCCTGAGGGCCCGAGGCCCAGTCTGGCCCCTTAGGGGTGGTGGGTACCCTGGTATACCACTGGCCTAGCTGTTTGGCCAAAGGGTCCCCTGCTGGTATGCAGCTCAGGAGAAGGTCTGAGTTATTCTGGCCTCCGTGGGCCACCCAGTTTTACACTGTGACCTCCTCTGTGTCCACTCCCCAGGGTTTGCCAAAAAGACATTTATTCCCTACTCGGTGAGCTACAAGGAAAGATTCCGGCAGGGCCTGGTGGTTGAGATCGACCTAACGAATCAAACGGTGCTGCTGGAGGATGGCGAGGTGAGCAGGGGCTGAGCCGTGTGTTAGCTGGCTTCAGGAGACCCCGGAGGACGGGCTGCTGGCGGGAGGAGACCCGGTGCTGGGCAGATAGCGGCTTCCTCACGCGCAGAGGCCTGACTGCAGTGGCTGCAGGGGTGTGGTGCAGGCACCGCTTGAGCCTTTGCTGCATGTGGGGCACTGTCTGAAGCCCTGCATGTTCTTGTTTAATGTGCGTGAGACTCCACAAGGGCGGTGGTACAGCCTCCTTTCACGGAGAGGATAAGTGGCTTGCCCGGCCTCCCACAGCTGGGAAGACAATCAGCTGTGATTTGAACTCTGGCAGTTTCACCCCAGAGCCCACACTCTGAAAGTCTGTCCTGGTCCAGCCCCAGGCCCAGGCGTCCAAGGCGGAGTCAGAGGGTAGGCACACACATCCGGGTCCCTGCACTGGCAAGTCATCAGGGTGGGGCTTTCTTCACTCCTCTTTGCATTCCTCAGCCCCCGTGTGTAACACAGTACCTGGTACGTACCTGCAGTGACGTGAGCCCCATCCCTGAGCTGCCACCAGCTGGCTCGTCCTACTTCGGGTCCCCTCCAGCCTTGCCCTCCACTCTGTTCAAAGCCAAGGGGGAACTGGAAAAAGAGGACACAATTTCTGTCCTCAATGAGTATGTGATTTAGTGGGACTTGATCTTCCTTAAATTAGTTTTAAGGCTGGGGAAACTGTTGGTTGGAAAGATTACTGGGTCTCCTTGTTCTGTGGTTTCAGGCCAGACTTTTCAGAGCCCTGGAGGGGCCCACGAGGGCACTCAGCCTCGGTGGGGGCTGAGTGGGACACGCGGCTCCCGTCCCTCCCCCCTCAGAGCAGCACTGGTTTTGTCAACTGTGTATATTTAGGCTCCAAACAGGGTCTACCTCCCTTCTTCCTTCCCTCTCTGTTTTTGTGGGCACAAGGGTAGTTTCCTCTAAAACACTAGGACAGTCTAGATTAATTTCATATTGGAAGATGGAACCCTGCTTATTCCCCACAAGCAGTTGTCTGCTTACCTGCCCACACCCCTGAGTGTGGGGAGCTCGCCTGTCTTATTTCTACGCTGGGTGGCTCTGGCAGGAGGTGAAATCTGTCTCCTTGGGTGTTACGGGGCTCTAGTGCCACCCCTTGGCCTAGCCATGTGATGGTTCCGCTCCCCTCGAGGAGGGCCGTCTCAGAATGCCCGAGGGGCCTTACCACCACGCTGCTTGCCCTGTGGGCCTGGGGTTGGGTGAAGAACCCAGGCCTGCCCTCACACTTCTTTCCTTTGCCCCTCGCAGGCGCTGCCCTTCTCACATCTCATCCTGGCCACTGGCAGCACTGGGCCCTTCCCTGGCAAGTTGAACCAGGCTTCCAGCCAGCAGGACGCCATTCAGGCCTATGAGGACATGGTGCAGCAGGCGAGCCGCCCCTGACTGGGCCAGGGCGGTGAGGGCGGGGGGGGGGGGTGGCCCCCTGGAGAGCAGCACAGCTGTGGGGACACTTGGGGCTGCAGCAGGGAGACCCCAGGAGGTGTTCAGGGGTGTGACAGTGGCAGTAAAGATGGAGAGTTACTAGAGACTCCTGGGAGGAGATCCTTGGATCTGTCATCAAAGCCTGGGCATGGGGGCCCAGACCTGTTCACACAGAGAGATGGGTGAATCCCCAGCTCCTCCCTCTTGGGGGTTCTGGGTACACCAGGCCTCGTGATCTGTAGCACAGGCCCGAACCCATAACCTCAGCCAGCTCTCACAGCCATCCTGACCTGAGTGGGGGTCGGATGGGTCTGTCCCCACTGAGCGGATGAGGAGCAGAGGCCCAGAGAAGGGCCTGAGGTGAGCGCTGCTACATGACTAAGCCAGGTCCTTCCCTCCCTGCAAAGCTCCGGAGAAGTGGGGAGATCATGTTAGTGTAGAGGCCAGGAACCCGGCTTTGAGCTCGGACAGACCTGGGCTGCGGCCATCTGCAGGGGGGTGGGTGGCGATACCTGCCTCCTGCGGCTGCCATGAGAGTCAGGTGAGAGAATTGGGGGGGGCGCCAGGCCCAGGGAAGCACATTTGGACCCCAGGTTTGGAATGAGTTCTTCACTCTTTTTGGGCAAGGACCTCTTCCCACTCCCGCCCCGCCCAGTGTGCACCCATGAGGTGGTGTGAATTTGAGGGTGTGTTTTTACATTTGCCTCTGCTCCAGGTCCAGCGCTCGAAGTCCATCGTGGTGGTGGGTGGAGGCTCCGCGGGAGTGGAGATGGCGGCAGAGATTAAAACAGAGTACCCCGAGAAAGAGGTGTGTGAGCAGCCTTGGCGTTGAGCTCAGTGGTCGGCTTCTTTCTGTGTTGTGCAAGGACAGTCAGGAGTTTCCTTGTGCACGGCCTGGGAGGTGGGGCTCCCTTGATATTAAGTGGGAGCCTGTGCTTCCCATCTCCTGCTCTCTGCTCTGAGGGGCCCCCTGCAGCCCCTTTCTGCTGGGTATTTTTCTGGAGATCTGGGGTGTGTCCTAGTTCAGTGAGGGGTCCTGCCTTCTGGACCAACCGGGAGGATCAAGCTCAGGGGAGACAACTTACAAAGGAGTAACTCCCGTGTCCCCTTCAGTGTCCCAGCTTTGTGATGTAAACGTAAACTTTGCCTCTTTTTGCTGACAACTAGCTTGGTCAAAGTCTTGAGCAAGCAGTGACTTTTTTGGTCTTTAAGAGACTGTAGCCCTTGCCCTGGACAGCCACATGGGGGAGCCCCTCACGGCTGTCCTGGGGAAGGACTGGCCAGCACCGCCTTCTGCCCAGGGGAGTGGGGCCCTGTTCCCTTTTAATGAGGGGATAGCGCACCTGCCTGGCGCCCTGGAGAGGAAAAGACAGCCTGGCAGGCTGGGCAGGCTCAGCTGAGGGCTGAGCGGTGATTGGTGATTACGGACACCAGGGCGTGTGTGCAGCTGATGCCAGATCCACTTCTGAGCAGCACGCAGAGCCTGTGGCTGGTTCTTTTTCCCTGGGGAAAGGCAGGTTGGTTTCCAGAAGTGAGATCAATGTGGGCTAATTTAATTATACAGTTGTTCTCTGACAAATTGTTGGAAATTATTATGGGTAATTGATGTATTATAAGAGTTCATTAATTTTGATTTATCGGGTAAAGACCAGTCTGACGTAGGAAGTAATTCAGTGTAACTTCCGTATGTTGATAATCAGCAGACAAATAAGAGTAATAGTAGCCACCGTGCTGAGTCACATGCTGTACACACGCTCTCATTTCATCATTACAAAACTTCCGAGTGGGACTGCGGTCCCGCCTTACTGAGTTGTCAGGCTGTGTCCCAGGATCTAGATGGGATTTCAACCCAGGCAGCCTAAATTCAAAGTCCCAGCTTTGGACACCATGGCAGGCTGCCTCCCGCAGCCCCACCGCCCCAGGTAGCGAGCAGGCGTGCCCAGCAGTGCCGGCGTTAGAGCCAGCTGTGACGCGGCTGTCGGCCTGACTTACAGTTGGAATGTCAGTGGCTTACATATAGACTGTAATCATAAATGCCCATGATGCTTGAAAACCATTCTCCCCCTGGCACTCAGTGTCAGGTGTGGAGCACTGGCACCTCCTGAAAGAGTCCTAGGCCAGGAGACCTGGGCTCCAGCCCGGCTTGCTGTTAGCTGGTTCCAGTGTGGGCACTTGTTCACTTGCACCTCTGTCCCCGAACCTGTAAGCTGGGGCCAGGGGAGGAGGCGGGGGAGACAGACTGATTTGTTTTTCAGATTCTTCTTTCGAGCAGAAGACTCAGTGACTCCTTCTCTCTTATATGGTCGTTTGTCCCCAGGTCACTCTTGTTCACTCCAAGGTGGCCCTGGCCGACAAGGAGCTGCTGCCCTGTGTCCGGCAGGAAGTGAAGGAGATCCTGGTCCAGAAGGGCGTGCAGCTGCTGCTGAGTACGTGCCAGTCCCCTCCGGCCCTGCCCCCCTCCCTGCCTGAGTGAGATTGGGCTCTGAGACTTGGTCACTGCCCCCTCGGAGCATGACGGTGGCCACACACTCTCTGTGTCTGGGGGCTGAGCATCAGAGCCCGTCTGAGCCCTGGCAACCAGTTGGAGGCTGTGTGTGTCCTCGGGCAGGACAGAGGTCCTAGTACTTATAGGATTTCCGTGTCTCGGAGGCAGCACTGTCCGGCTACTGCTTTGGACAAAGTGTAGGTGGCACCTAGTTGTTGAATGACTTAAAAAAAAAAATCTAAAGGATTTGACCTGAATTACGACGCCTCTGTGGTGGAGAGAATATGTTTGTTTATTGGTTGGTGTTTTCAGGGTGGTGAGGAGAGTGGCTTTTGTCTGGAGCAGGAGGGAAGAGAACCATCCGGCATGTTAGAGAGCAGGGCTCTAGCCCCACTGGTGTCCCCCACACTCTGTGGGGCTCAGCCTCTGCTTTGCAGGGAGTGGTAGGGGTCCACTCTGCGAAAGTGCATGCTGGCTCTTGGTCTCCTTGTACCTGCTCTGCAGGCCCTGAGCCCTTTACTTTCAGGCAGCAAGGAGAGCAGGCTGGCTTCCTGACTTTCCTTGCCTCACCTTCATCGGTGTGCCTGGGGCTCGTCCTGCCTGGTTGGGCTGGTGGAGCCGACAGGCATGCGAGAGGTCTTCCTCAAATAGCTTTTCTCAGAATTTCTTGGGAAACTCAGCCTCAAACTGCTTCTTGGAACTTTCCTCTCATTGGATCCCTTGGGGCCTGATTCCAGGGGCAGCGGATGGGCTGGGAGAAGAAGAGCAGGGAGGGAAGCGGGGAGTGGAGTCATTGCCTAGCCGGGTCACAGCGTCTAGGCCTTTCCTGGGGCCTTCGGGGCTCTCCAGCCTTCCCCAGGGGAGCCTTGGCTGGGACCCCAGCCCTGTCTGCCCTCTGCCAGCCCCCCGGTCACAGACCTCCCTTGACAGGCGAGCGGGTGTGCAATCTGGAGAAGCTGCCTCTCAACGAGTATAGAGAATGCATCGATGTACAGACGGACAAAGGCACGGAGCTGGCCACCAACCTGGTGATTGTCTGCAATGGTATCAAGGTCAACAGCTCTGCCTACCACAGTGCCTTTGGTAAGCAGGAGGCCGAGCCATTGTCTATTCCCCAGGTTGCCTCTTCTCTGTCCAGCCGTCTAAGAAGGCCTTTCAGGCCCCTTCCCAAGGAATAGGCACCACCCTGCCTTCTCCCTCCTTCTGGGGACCTCATTTGTCTCTTCTGAAGGGTGACGCCCAACTTTAAATTCAGGTTCTAGTTCACTGTTGCCGTCCTTTCTTCAGCTGTGATGAAGATGACTTAGTCCAAGATGTCCAAAGTGACCAAAATCTTCCAAAGTTGGGGCCCGCCCTCTAGTGGTGAGAGATGAGAACAGGTTTCAGAGGGATGAAACACCCGTTTTTCTGTTCCTTTCCTTGAATCATGGATGCAGAGGAAATCTGCGGTCAGGCCTTTCTCTGTCCACAGGTATGCTGCTCTGTCCAAACTCTGACCCAGATGTTTGGCCACTTGAGCTTGGAATGACCATTTGGGGAGTAGGGGCCATATTGGGCCTTTGCGTTCTTAAAGCTCAGTATCGATCTATCTAGGTAACCAGAAGGTGGAGCAGGTGGGCTAACGGACTCCATGTGTGAGCTAGGGACTCAGTGTCTCCTTGTCAGGCCCCGTGGTTGCTGTGCCCCCAGGTCCCCATCATTTATTCCCTAGTACCATTCCTGCCCAAGGAGCTCCTACTTCGGGCCCTGCAGAAACGACTCATCCAATTCCAGCGGAAGGCAGCTAGTCCAGGCCAGGCATGGGGGTGGAACTGAGGGCTTATAATGGACAGAGACCCTGAAAATTTAACACTTAATTGGCCTAATGTCATATTTCAAAGATAAACTCTTTTAAGTCCCTTGAAATGAAAAGTTTATCATTTATTAAAACCCCATGTTTATTTTAAAAATCTGATCCATGTTCAGAAGAAAATTCAAGACTTGGCCAAGTTGCAAATTTAAGCACTGTGAGTTAATCACAGTAACTTACAGAGTTATGCACATTTCATAAAATGACACTCGCTGCCTTTCTGACAGTTTCCACCCTGGAAGAGTAACTTGCCTTTGCAGGAAGAGTTCTGGGGTGGGGGCTTCAGGCAGAAATAAATGAGGTGGTGGGAGGCTTGCCTCCGGAGGGTGTGCCGTTTGGCCAGCACCAGAGCTCCTCTTCCTGCGTTCTGGAGGCCACTTAACATGGCAGTTCAGGGGCTTGGTCTCTTGTTGGTTTTGCCTGGCAGATAGCCAGCTGGCCAGCGATGGCGCCCTGAGGGTGAACGAGTACCTCCAGGTGGAGGGCTACAGCCACATCTATGCCATCGGCGACTGTGCCGACGTGAAGGAGCCCAAGATGGCCTATCACGCCGGCCTCCATGCCAACATCGCCGTGACCAACATCATCAACTCCATGAAAGAGAGGCCCCTCAAGGCCTACAAGCCAGGTAAGGCAGCCCACGTGCTTCACAGTCGGAGTGAGACACGGTGCAGCCTTTGAGACGACTGACCACTAGAACGAACCTTCAAAGCTGCCGACAGAAACACCCCATAGAGCGCTTTACCAGTGGGGAATAAACACGCAGATCTGGGGACTGCAGGCCCACAATGCCCAGCAGGTCCTAGCGTGCGCCTCTGCTCCACAGGTGCACTGACGTTCCTCTTGGCCATGGGCAGGAACGATGGTGTGGGCCAGATCAGTGGCTTCTACGTGGGGCGCTTCATGGTTCGGCTGGTCAAGAGCCGGGACCTGTTCGTCTCCACAAGCTGGAAAACCATGCGGCAGTCTGCACCCTGAGGAGGAGGCTGGGAGGGAGACGAGGCACCGCTGTTGCCAGCTGAATGGATTGCTTGACAAGTGGTACCCGCCTGACAAATGCCAAGGACACTTCTTCTGGAGTAAGATGCTAGTGAGGTACTCACCAGAAACACAACTTACAGATAACCAAAAATGAAGAGAGAGAGAGAGAGAGAGATTAAAAGGACACCTCCCCAGAGGATTCTCTCTGGGTTGGAAAGGTCTGCTTGCCATGTGCTGGCCCACTGCTTCACTTGGTCCTGGGAGGGCAAGGCCAGCCTCATCTACCACAGGCTCCCCTTGGATGTGTGTGCGTGCATATGTGTGCATACGGGTGTGGTGTTCAGAACACGCACAGGCAGAGCTGGGGCTCCTCATGGCTGGCAGCCTGTCTGGAGGGCAGGAAGGGGGGACCTGCCAGGTGAGACTGGCTACGGAAGGGGATCTGCACCCCAGCTTCTCCATGGTTTGGGAGGTGGGGAAGCCCACACATCCCACCACACTCAGGTTGTCAGTAGGAGCCCATTTTAAAACTCTTAGTCCCTACTGTCTTTAATCTTAATGAAACTGCATTTCCATTTTTAGATCCTGATTATATACCATAGGTTACATTTACGAAGAAGGAGATAAAAAAAATCTCCCCCTTGGTCAGTCCGTTGTAACAGTGAGTTTTTACAGAGCTAATGGAAGTGAAGACCGGAGGGAAGGCCGCCGAGCTCATGTGACCTCTGGGCTGGTTGCCATCTGGTTCACATTCAGGGAGCAGACAGGGCTTCCTCGGGCGACCCCCGTGGGCCTCCAGGCTGCTGTCGTGGGCAGACTTCTAAGTGGCAAAACTCTGATGCTGGGGGACCCTTGGTGGTTTTGTGCTTCTGGTTTCTTGGCCAACCCTAATACCATTTACCTGGAGACCCAGCCATGCAGCAATAACGCCTGCCACCAACTCTGTTAAGGTATATAAATGGCTCTTCTATTTGGGAGAGACCTTCTAGTCTGGGGGAGCCTGTTCTGGACCACGTGAAGTTAAGTCTCTACCGCCCGAGTGGTTGACGAATTCATCTGGATACACGGGTTCTGCCCTGCCCACCTGCCTCTCCCTGTCTGCTTTTGATGGGTGTCTCTGGCTACTTGGCCAGAGTCCTTGGACACCAGTCTCACTGGGGTTCTCAGTCCATCCCGCTGGGGCTGTGGCCTGGGCCCGACTGGGACATGGTCTCTCTTCCAAAGCCTGGCAGTCCCTCTGGGGCTTTGCCCAGGGCTGTGTTCCTGTGAACCAAGGCTGGCCAGGCCCCGCTGCTGCCTGAGAGACGGGCCATTTCGTGCTGTCTGACCTGGGGCGTCGCATGGCGGGACTCTCAGCCGGTGAGAGACAGGCCTTGTTCTATTTATAACATTCTAGACGTGTCCACCCATGGGGACAGTTTTCTAAACTGACGAAAATGTTGCAATAAAACAGTATGTTGTAAGAAAGACACTGGATGCTTTATTTTTTTTCTTTCATTTTCTTTTTCTTTAAAAAACAAAACAAAACAGAAAAAAGCCTGAAGCAAAACCTTTTTAAGAGTAGTTACAGATATTACAGGGGTGAGGGTGGGGGCACTAAAACAGAAAATAAGCACCAGTGAGATGCCTTCTACTGCTCTTCTCCCCGCCACTCAGTACAGCCAGCCAGCGCGGCCTGAGTCATGGCTGCGCCCTCCTCCCTTGCAAAAAGGAGAAACAAGACTTAAGAATTTTGAAAGGATTTTTTTTGTGTGTGTAAAAGTCAATGCTATAAATCTAAAATGAAGTCTGTTTTTAAAAAAAGTTCTAAAACAATAGGAAGAAAACACATGGAAAGAACTCCTCACGGAGACCTGGTTTTAGGACTGAGGCTCTTTTTAACGAGAATATAAAACGCAGAGGGCTCCTTCCACGGCGGGACCTGCTCCCGCAGCCTCTGCCACCCGCTTCCCCTCAGCCGCCCAGCGCTTCCCCGCATCGCCCTTCCTCTCTCCTTTTAAAAATAAAACCCGCTCCTGTGACTTGGATCCTCCTCCAGCTGCCGCTGGACAGTGTAGCCATGGCGGCTACTTGGTGTCGAGCTTGGCCATCTCCTGCACGTAGATGCCGATGCTCTCACTGTCAAAGAGGAGGAAGTAGACGTTCTTCAGCGAGGACGCGCTCGAGTCGTCAAAGTGGGCCGAGATGGCTTTGAGGGTCACCTGGGCGGCCGTCTGTTTGGGGAAGCAGTTTCTGTGCCAAAGGAAGAGAACAGCCTATGTCACTTGGGTCGCTGGGGCCCATGGGGTAACTCAGCTCAGGGTGGTGGCACTGCAGGCCCTTCTTATCCTGGCACTGGGCCCCGGTTTCTATTGCATAGGGGCTCACCATGTGCCGGCCAGTCCACACGTGAGCTCCTTCAGTGCCAGTCAGAGGGACAGCCTGGGGGCCCCAAGTGGGGGACTCACATCCCCACTCTACGGGTACCACACGGACTCAGAGTTTAGCCAAGTTCAGGGGGCTGGCTGGTGACCGGTGCCCTGTGCTGGAATCTGTAGCCTGACTTAAGTCAAGTTTGGTTTTAAAAACACCATTCAGCATTTCAAATACCTGGCCTTCAAAAAAGCACATACAAGTTTTGTTAGCTCCTAACCCCCGAAAGCAAACCCTAGGTGACAGGCTTTCATTTCTCTGGGTGTGCGTGGCACAGCCTCGGCCTCCTGGCCCTCCCACCATCACCCCCCCCGCCCCGGAGGAGCACTGGAATCCCCAGGGATTCTGAGGCCGTGGGCGTTGGGTGGGTCTGAGACTCTAACATGGGGTGGGGGGGTGTCGCTGCTGCCGAGCTGTTTTCTGGTCATGTGTACTCTACGGGGACAGCTGGTGGGGACATGGGCTTTGAACTCGTGAAGAACCCGCCTCTCGCTCCTCCCTGCTGCCTCTCTCTGAGTGCTTCAAAGGATGGAGCTGGGTTTCTTGCCCTATCTCCTGGTCAGCACGCTTGGCTGTGTTGGCAGCCCTTGGCCATGTCATCGGGAATGGCCAGGTGTGGGTAAGTGGGAGAGCGCTGGCCCCCAGGGAGACGTCTGGACTCGGCGCCTCCCCCGCCCTCCTGGAGAAGTGCCTCTTACCTGCCACTGGGGAAGGGAGGAAAGGCCACGGACTTGAGCTTCTTGTCCTCTGCTGCGGAGAGGCAGTTTTTGATGGTCTCTTCAAGCTGCTCTTCACATTTGTCGGAGCCCCACTGAGGGATGTGACAGTGGATGACAAATTTGGCTGCAAGTCCGCTGGATTGGCTGACGGCAGCTGGGACATGGGAGAGAAACGCTGCAGGTTATTTCCTAGTCTTCACCTTAAGCCAGAGGGTTAGGCCGAACCCCACATGTACCTGTTAGGTGTGTGGGGGACAAGGGGGCGATAGAGGAGTTTACCAGACAAACTCTGTGCTTTCCATGGGGACCGGATGTTTACAGAGAGCAGCAGCCATGTTGGAATTGCTTTGGACGGCAGGCACAAGCTTCTTTTAAAGTGGATGTGACAGCACGTGACTTTCACGTGGCCTGCCACCTAGTCACTAGGTTGGGCTACCTGTTCACCATGTTTGCCCCTCGAAGGCGCACAGCAGAATCATCTCTGGTGGTTGTGGTGGGCTGAGGCATGGCCTCCCTGAAATGGGCGCCCCCTCATCCCTGGAACCGGGACTTTGCAGGTGTGACTCGCTGAGGGTTTTTGAGATGGGGAGATAACCCTTTAAGAGGGAGGCAGGGAGGTCATGGTGGGAGAAGAAAAGTGATGACGAAGCAGACACAGGGCAGACCATGCGTGAGCCGAGGGACGCTGCTGCCCAGTGCCGGCAGGAGCAGCTTCTCCGGGAGGAGCCAGCTCTGCCAGCACCTTGATTTTAGTTTTTGAAAGACTGCTTGTAGACTTCTGACTTCCAGAACTCATAAGAGAATAAATCTGTGTTGTTTGAAGCCACAGCATTTGTGGTGATTTGTTATGGTAATGATGGGAAACTAATACAACGGTTTTTAGACTTTTAACAAATAGACACGTCCACCCCCCACCCCGAGATCCTGACTCAGCAGGTCTGGGACCGGCGTGTGCTGGTGACTAGGGTCCTCTGTGAGTCGGGGGCCACAGACTTGGCCATGCACTCCCTCAGACAGTGGTGGTCTTTTCGACCACCTGAGGAACCTGTGGGGAGAAGGCGCTCACACGGCTTGTGGTGTGGGCCCTAGGTCCAACATGCACCTGGTGAAACCACTCACTCTGGAAACACGGTTCCCCTTCCCCGCCTTTGTCACAGGAACGCCAGCCGGTTTCCCCAGCCTTGCCTCATCCCAGTCCCGTCTGCTTCATCTCCACACTGCCTCCTGCGCTGCCATCCCACCCAGTTTCCATCCCATCCAGCTTCCCGGCGGAAATCAGGATGTGCCTCACAACCACCACCAGCCTGGACCGAGCTGAGTTCTCTCAGAGACAAGTTGCAGAAGTTGCACTCGCTCCTGTCACCTGGGGACACTACCAAACCAAGGCCACACCTCCCAACTTCCCCGAGGGAGGTTTGTGGGCCGCCCTGGGTCTGGCTGCAAATCTGCGGGAGTACCAGCTCATGGTTCAGACTCTCTAGTGAGGCTTTTTCCCCTTTGCTTAACCCAATGCCAAGGTCAAGATACATGCCTGCTGCCCTTTGTGCACGGTGGGTTCATGTCTTGCTTGCTCTTAAACTGAATGTGTTCTGGCTTTATGTGGGGTCTGCTACTAGACACCCTGTCTGGGAAATCTATTCTTTCTTGATGGAATGTACAACAGGGCCTGTCTTACAAGTGACGGTGTTTGAAACTAGAGGGAATATGGTTGTTAGAACTTTTTCAGACTCACCCCAGCAGCCCCTTCTTCCCAGGGAGACACCGCTCCCAGGCCGCGGAGGTGCAGACCTGACAGACGTGCACCATTTCTTAGCGCACGGCCATTCCCGGCAGCCGTCTCCCGAGTACACTTGCTTCTCCCTCACAGTGAGGCCTCCAGCGACCCTTTCGGTGAGGGCCTGGGGGCTCTTGACTCTCAGCTCTCGAAAGTCTGAAATCGTGCATCCTTTGCCTTTCCTCTTGAATATTAACAAAGCAATGTGTGTGAATCCTTGGTTGACAGTCTTTCCCCTCAAGTGCTTGGAAAACATTTCTTTCCCGTCTCCAGGCAGCGTCCTCGGTTGCGGACGGGAAGCCCGCTGTCAGGGGACGGCCCCCACAAACAGTCTGCCTTTCCTCGTGGGCTGCTCTTCTGTTTTCTCTTGAGTTTTGAATTTCTGAAGTGTCACCACGATTTTCATTTATTATACTCAATATTTTCAACCTAAGAACTCGTGGGTTTCATTCTGGAAAATTCTCAGCCGTAATTTTTTAAAATACTGTTTCTCTACCTTCTGTTCTCTGCCTCTGGATCTCTGGAAGTGTGCTGGGGCCCCTCGTTCATTCCATGCAGAGCTGCTGTGTTTTCCTCGCCTCCCCGCGCTGACGGGCAGTTTGCTGGGTGCCTCCCCCAGACCCCCTGGGGTCCCCGGTCCAGGTTCAGTCTTTCATGGCCGATTCTGGGCTCTGTCTCATGGTGATGCAGGGGTACGGTAAGTCCAGACATCGAGCCAGTGGGCAGCGTGGCCTGGGTGAGGGGCTCCCTGCTCCCACTGGCTACCCCAGAGAACAGATTTCACACAAGCCACAGTCCCGGGTGGCAGCCGGAGCCGAAGATCATGGGAGGCCTACCTGGCCCTCGCTTTCAGCTCCAAGCCGGGCTTTGGCTCCCCCTGGGGGTGAGGCGACTGGGTCTCATGGCCCCGTAAGAGTCATCCTCCAGATGGCCTGCATATTTCCACACCTGGAGCCCAACACAGAGCTTAGACCTTGCCCTGCGGCCGCCACACGCAGCTCTCCTATGCCTGCCCACACATATGTCTGTCTCATATTTCAGTGTGGCTCTGTCTTGAAGTTTAAAAAAAATTTATCATTGCTGTATGTAGGGGGAATGGCGACGTTCATACTGGAAAGTGTGGGCTCACACACCTTCTTGTCTGGGAGCCCCCATTACTCCTCTAGCCACCCAATCTGATCATGACCGTCCCTGGCTCAAACTTTCAGAGATGTCCCTGTTGTCTACACAGGGTCTCCCTCTACCTGCTGCTCCCTGCCAGCCTTATGGCCATGACGTCCCTGCCCTCAAGTGGGTCTCATTCCCTCATGGAGCCCCGCTTTCTCCCCCCGCCCCCCCCCCCCCCGCCCAGGCAGAGGGCGAGCTCTGCTGTCTCTCTCTGCCCCACTAGGTGTCTGTCTTTCCTCCCAGACTGTCCAGGGCTCGAGGGCAGGAATGGGATTCACTGTCTCTGGAGCCCCAGCACCAGGGCAGCGCTTGGCACCGACCAGACGGTCACTGGGGGTGGCATGTGCTGGGACACAGATCTGCAGTTGGACCCGCTCATCAAAAAATGACCAACAAT